GCAACGCGAACGCTGCGCTGCATTGCATTGTAATCAGTATTGGGGGGATGCAGCATTGATGGCGGGTGAGAGCACTCCCTCTCCCCAGTGCGCGCTGGTACGTTGAAGAGATCTCAGCGCAATGGTGGGCGCTACTATCTGAACGTTTATCATGCCTACCTTCCGTTGAAATTGAAATGGGAAATTAACTGTTTTGTTCGTGTCAGTCGAGACTATTTTCAATGGCTAGCATTCTTGTTAAAGGGACTATCCTACCTTCTAAAATGTTGTTAAAACCAGTTAAATTGTGCCCGACTTTATAGATTGGATGACCAGGAACACGGTTCTGGCATTTATTTTTCATTAAACATCTTAGGCTTCCCATATTCCAAACACAAACTTTCAAATATGTGACGTCACAGCCCAAAATTACCTACTTCCCCAGGCCACATTACTGTCATAAAGCTGATTCTTTTTACTCTGTAGGCACCACAACAAACTTCAGACCAAGTTTTAAGCGATTTTTCAACGAACAAACCCATTTAAATCAGAATGACTAAACGAGGTGACGTCACACTAACGGTCGCTCCATGTTGAAGATAGGGCCTTGCGCAAGGCCCATTTTCAAATGAAGGGAACGAATTTCTTCAACACCAAGAGGCCGCGGGGGTTGCAACCTAGATAGATAGTGGTTTCTGAACCTCGCCGCAAACTTGGCTATCTCAACTTAAACCCCATGTTAAAGGTGGGATAGTCCCTTTAACGAATGGATATCTTAATTTTGCTTTACCGTAACGATCTGCATTGTTTTGAAGTCTTTCAACCAATCGAATCTCATCTTCCAAGCATCACGGTCATTAAAATGGTTTGTCGAAATTCCTATTAGGTATATCGGCAAATGCATCTCCGTAAGGTAAGTATGAATCCCTTAAGAGTTACAATGGACATGGACGCGCACGAAGGAAGCGCTGAACATGCCGAGGTCCCCCATCCAAACCACAGCCATTTCCGCCGACTCATCTGCGTCGCGTCACGGGTTGGTAGTTCATACATGGACTGATGTAGGCTCCTCTACCGGAGAGAGGTCGGTGCAAGAGATGGGCGGGAAATGGCAGCTGGGCCGAGACCTCATTAGCGTAGACTTCTATACACTATCGCTATTTCACTTCACGGATGAGACGTGCGGTCGACTGCATGCTGAAAATGGCGGCGAATGAAATAGAGATAAACGCGCCGTGCATGTGCTATTTCTGGAACGACTGCAGCCGAGTTGAAAGATTAGGCCAATTAGACGGCTAAAAGGTGGCGTATCTGCACGTCGACCCGTCCAGGTGCTCTGTAGATAAAATGTTTTGGCCAGGTGTACCGTCTCTGTCAATAACATCGGTTTCAAACCAGCTCTAATCTCTGTCGCGGGCGCATGAGTCGCTTATATGTTAAAATAGAATTGTTGAAAATGATAGACAACTTGAAAGGTTAGAAAATCAGGCTTTTCATGCGTAGGCCTATCGGTCAAAACGTTTCTTTTATTTATCAATAATAATGATAATAGTGATTATAATTGGGTAGGCATAGGACGAGAAATAGCTGAAGTCCACTCAAAATCGTAAGGATTCTAATATTTTCTGTTTTTTTTTTTCGGAGCAAAACATCAGATAAGTACATACCTCTGCTGGGCCCTTTAGGTTGGGACAAAATACGAGTCTTTTTAGAGCCATGAGTAAGCCTGATCTGACCTGGTGCCAATAATGTTTAGGTCATAAGTCAAAGACGAACACAAAGCTTTGCCTGATTGATAAATTTAAGGCAATTTATAAATTATTTAAGTAGGTATATGGGATGGGGAAGTGGGGTAAAACGGCCCAGTGGGGCAAGACGGACCACCAGCCTTCCCGGCTAAACCGCTGCTGTTATCCGCTGCTTTATGCTATAACTACCTTTATTTTCCCTCGCGTTAATTGCAACCTTGGGCTCATGGGGCCAGCAGCCAGGATGCATGGCTTTAGAACCATTGGAAACAATGTTGTTTTACGTCAAACTGATCTAATGTAAGAGGTCTAAAGATGATTCAATTTAGGCGCCTTTCTTGCATGATTAATTTTAATTTTCACTTTACTGTTAATAATAATGTTATGTTTACACTTTAAGACAAAGTTTCAAAGTTATGTCATGATAATGACAAAACTTAGATTACGGATAAGACGGAGCATGCTGTGCTCTATTTTACCCTGTGGTGGTCCATTCTACCATCAGATAAAAATCTTGCTAAAACATTGACACAACTTTCAATAATTTATCTTTTTCAGGATGGAGTTTTTGTTGCATGTGAGGCAAGCCATGACCCATATATATGTAAGTGCTGAGTTAACATGCATTCATGTCAAACGACAGTCAACACATAATTTCCCAGATTTTAGTTGCTTTTCCACCCATGTCCTCAGTCCTACAGAATAAAGGCTTACTTCGTTATTTTACCACTCTGCTTACTTCTTCTTACAAGAGCACATAAGTCAGAGCACAAGTCTCACAAACATAAATAGATAGCAGACACTGCTAGGTGGTCCGTCTTACCTCGCGTTTTTCTTGTCGGTGTTTTTGACATGTCCCCTTAATTAAGGGTAACCACCGCCTAGATATCTTGAATTTTAAATCCAGCCTTTGCACATATCAACCGAGAAAGGAATAAACACTCAGAAGACTATAATATGAGGTTCGAGAGCAGTGTAGCAAGATATTCGACTTCAAGCCAGCCTTAGCTGGTCCGTCTTACCCCACTATTCCCTACGTGATTGGAAAATCTAACTACAAATGCTAGGTAGTCGTATGGCGCTGTCCGTCCAAAGTTTATTAACGTTCAAGTTACCATAGTTTAAAATCTACGCGCATTATCTGAGCGTTTGATACAATTTTGCTGTGGGTGCCATTACCATCCCGTTCAGTGATCGTTGGCATCGTTTGTTTTGCTCCGCCCATGAAGCCGAGTGAAACTCCTCGCCGCCGCACACTGGTCGGAAACGCTCCAGCGAGAGGCCAGCGGCCTTCCCGCAAAAGTTTTTTGCTTGTTATTCCACAACTAGTCAAGCAAACTTCATAAAACTTTGCATACCTTCTCTGTCATATGTAAGCTATCATTTGGATGTCAAGCACTAAATATATGACGTGCATCTGTTAAGTTATGACGTCATAATTGAGTATAATACAGGATCTAACACCACTTTAAGTCAACAAGGGAAATTGGGAGCTGCTATTCGGGCACCGGGAATGGTTTCATGCACTTCTTGCAAGGTCCAGTGCTTGACTTAAGCATTGTTGACTTTGCGTGACGTCATGTATGACGTCACTAAGGCCATATAAGTTTTTCGTCAATAACTCCTGATCAGATGGAGCTAGAGAGTCGGGAAAGCCACCATTGGACTCAGGAAGACCTGCCGAATCGAATGATATGCAATATGACCTCATTCAACCATTTTCGTGACCTGAGGGGCTCCGACCTGACCTTGACCCGAGGTTAACACCTTAAGTTGAGTTCACCCGAACACCAAGTATAGCATTCAACGCGCCTGAGCTAGACAAACACGATGATGCCAAAATCGCGGCAGTGCGACCATTTTTTGGTAAAGTAATTAACCTAAAACCGAACCCGTGCCTTGTGGCACTTACGTGACCTAAGAGGTCACTGGCTGACCTAAGACCTTAAAATCGGGTAGTACCTGATTTTTGCGTCTTATAACGGCACACAAGCTTTTTTCCGCGAGGCTCTAGCTCAATTAGAGGCGAAACGGCGAGGGAGTTGTACCAACCCTCCCCGGTCAATATAGAAAACCAATCGGTCCGGCCAGGGTTAAATACCGGAATTGTAATCTAATGTAACTAAAGACGACCCAAGGTAACCTGACGTCAGTGACAGGTGTCCTATATTTGCAGCGTCTTATATTCACGAAGGTTTCAATTTCCACTTTCTTCAGCCGAGTGATGGTTGTCAATAGCAAGGCTCTCTAAATGCAAGCCGTAATCGCCACGCAATATGTGGAAGGCTTTTGATGTCAATACATACATAAATGCATACATAAAACGCGCTTTTCACAAAATTCATAAACTCAAGCGCATCTGTTTTTAATGACCAGTCAACTACGCATGGATGCGTGCAGGCCACACAGGTCAGCGTAAGCCGGGCGCGGCGGCCGAGCCGAAACTGGGGCGGGGCGGGCGGTAGTTGGGTAGGAAGAGCGGCTCCTGCAAATTTTGCGCAAATATGCGCAGTTAGCTTTTATGTTGCCCTGGTGTGAATTTAAATCCTACTTCATCTCACAAAAAATCAGAGTGGAACTAGATGGGACTACCTGTTGTTTCCTTACCTAAACTTTGCAGTTATATTCCAGAATCACTGTAGGAGAGCCTTCATAAAAAAGCTATAGTACATCTTAGTTAGGGATTTAATATGCCAAAAATTTTGCACTGACCAGTCAGCAACTTCATAACGAACATTTTGATGCATAATATGTGGGATTTCAATTTGGTGTCTATCAGCAATAAGACTCTGAATATCCGGCTCAAGAAACCTCCTGCTCCGCGTCAGTTTCCGAGTTCTGGGATACCCCATCTTCGGGGGCTGATTACAGTTATTTTTGGTCACCCGGATTAGTTTTTTGACCTAAGTATAATAATTTGATCAATTTCAAATCGATCTATATAAAAAATAATCCGAAACTCCGGAATCGCCCGTGGCCTCTCGTGAGGGCGTTTCCGACCAGTGTGCGCCGGTGCGTGTCCGGAAGCGAGCGGTGTTGTTTTTGTCCCGGCCAGCTGACCGGGCCCTGAATGGAGGCGTTCGTTTACCCCTGTTTTTGTTGGTCGGTTCTTATGGCTGTTTTTACGCTGTGACCAGCGCCCACGTTCGCGGCCGTCGTGCGCCCACACGGGAGTACATACTCGCGGCATGGCAGAGCAGCAGCCGGGCGGCCGGCTCGGCCAATCAGAGGAAGGCCGGCGCCGCTACCGCTCCGCAGAGAGGTGCCGGCGCAGTTGGCGCGGGCGGTGCGCCGTGGCCGCCGCCGCCGTACCCCGGCTGTGCGTGGGTCGGCCGCCGCTCTCCGCACGCCCCGCGTCGGTGACGGTGGCTTTGACCTTGTTTCGGCTGCCAGCCAATCAGCGTCGAGCGCGGCGGCGCGGCGGTGCGCAGCCTGTGTCAGCGCTCGGTGCGTGCCGCTGGCTCGTGCGGAGCCGGCAGTGACCAGTGGAGCGGCGGAGGCGTTGCGTGGTGGTGGTGTCGCGGTGGTTGTGTGATTGTGTGCGCGAACTATCGAGATTGCAGCTGAGCGTGCTGAGGACACTGAGCGGTAAGTGAATCCATCCCTTTGGTAGAAGCACCGCCTCCTTCCCATCTAGCCCTCTGCTGGCGACCGGTCCCTTCTCACGTGGAGCGGCGCCGAGGCCACACGCCATGTTACGGCCGCCACGGCTCACTGCGTTCTCACCCCTCCGCTTCTCGGGAGACCGCTCGACTGGCAGCCGGAGAGGCGCCGTTCGGTCGTCAATCGGCGCTCGCTCGCCGGCCAGTCGATGTTTGCCCATGTTGGCGTCACGTGGCCGGCCCTCTCTCTCAAGGCCGGCGCCGGCGGCCGTCAGCACGCTGCCGTCGATGGACACGCGGCGGCGTCGGCCGGCGCGCTGCGCACATGTGGTCCACCGATCGATGGTCCGGGTCGCTGGTAACAACAGACGCCGCCGGCCGGCGCACCCGTCTCTGGCCGGCTCACCGCTTACCCTGTCCTGCTGCCTGGCTTCCTATCCTGTACTTCTGTCCACACACATCAGCACTGCAGGCAACCGCGTGGCACCGCGGACTTATCGTACGCCGCCCCCCGCCCACCGCCTCCGCCCTCCATCCACCGTCAACAGTCGTGTGTGCTAGCTGACGTCAACGACTGCGTAAATTAACACACCCGTAGTCGGGGCCGGGACCAGCAATAACCGATACTGTTACAAACTGTAGTATAGCCTGCACGTAGCTCTACAAGTGGGTGTAAAAAAGCACGATCTACTGGAAGCGAGTGGAGTGTGGTGGGATGGGAAATCGGGCAATCAATCGGGCTTGCACCCCTTTGAGGTTAGCCTGTGGGATGCGATACCGTGGAGGTGGTGCCGCTCTCGGTACCTCGGGGGCTGTCGATCTTCCCGTTCTTTATCCAGTTAGTATGTCAACGAACATCTCATGGTTTTGGTGTCACCCCGCCCGCTTCCCACGGTATACGGCCACGGTTTGGCGTCTATGTAGAGGAGGCAGTCGATCTCCCCCTCCCGCCCATCCGGCGCGTGGAGAGTCCCACATGGCTGTACCCCCTCTCCACTCGCTTCCCACGACTGAGCAGGCGTTGGGGCCGTCTCCACTCAGCTGTTCACCGTACCTACACCAAACGACCACCTATCTGTAGTTCATAGTTGTGCGGTGCCCGATAAGCCCAGCGTCGCACTCGCCGCCTAGCCGAGGAACGCGCGGCGGTAGCGGCGGCCCAACTACGCATCGAACGGGTCGCCGCCGCCGATGGGGCAACGCCATGGCCGCTTTCACTCTCCGAGGGCCAGCACGGCGGGCGGCGCGGCGGCCGGCGTGCCATCTGGACTCGGCTTGATAGACGCTCGCCTGGAGATTGCGGTCCTTTAGCGTGTTTTCTCGGAGGATTAGCTTTGTTCCCACAGAATCACGGGTGAACGTCCGTCTTATAGTGACGAACCTTGTTGGCTTTACGTTTAGCTCAGGTAGTAACAGTTTTTGTGATTTGTTAGATAGTGGCTATTTTAGGCTCGTACAATGCAGCTGGCAGGGAAAATGTTACACCGATGATCGGTTGTACGCCACAAATGAGCTTCCTTGTTACTGTGCTTCGGTCAGAATGAAGCAATTTACGATTTTTTTTATATGGTTTTTGGTTGCATGCAAAGCTAAGCGAAGTTCATGATTTTGCAGCACCTGAGGACAGATTCCAGAGACGTTAATTGATGAGTTCCTTTCAACTGTTCGCTGATAACCTTTGCGTGGTCGTTTGGAAAACAAAACACAACGAGCAAAAGTTGTCCTGAATTTAGCTTCTCCTGATAAAGTCATTTTATCATCAAACGATTCTGCTGAACGGCATTGAACAGTGTTTGTAATGCTCTGATACTGCACGACAATATTTTTTCGCATGCTTCACTCAATTACCTTCATCGGGCACACCTTTTGCGCGTTGGCGTTTCCCATTGGTCCATTGCTAAGCCGTGCTCCCGTCGCTCTGCCCATGGGCACAAATCTTCTCGGTGTTCGGCGGACGGTGATGATGATGTGGGCCAGGTATGCCAGCCCCCGGGACTGGCTCCCATTCCCCGAGTGGCAGCGTGTTTCAAGGCCCTAAAATCTGTATTCTAGCTGTTTAACTGGCTCCCACCAGCGTACCTTCAACAGTCGTCCTAGCAGTTAAACGCATGCAAAAATGCCCTTTAGCTCTTTTGCAGCTTGGCGCCACTACGTTTTAAATGAAATTCGCCCGCGAATGCTTTTAATTACATTGCTCTCAACTCGTGACGCGCACAGTTAATTACCGGACAGGCCTTGTTAATGTGTGTTTGTGAGAAATGATGTGAATAACAGACATTTTGCAGGCAATAACGCTCATTAGGAAATGCATGTTAAGTGGTACCTTCCAAGCAGTTCGCCCGCTATTCCTTGTATTCACGCGTGCATAAAACAGTGAAATAAAAACGTCAGTGTGGGTTCATCAGAAGCATAGAAAGTGCAAATGACTGTTATTATTGTTCCTGATAGCATCGTTTCTTTCCACGCCCAAGAGAGTGGTGAGATTGAGCTTTGTCGGGTACCCTGTATGTATGTGTACGTACGAGGAAGTGTTTGATGCATTGTATACGTAGACGTGGGTCTGGCTCAGCATATGAACTGCGTACTTGCGATGCATGACATGTAACTTCTTCGCCCAGGTTTCGCAACGCTATCATGCGTATTTTATCTGATGTTACGTCTTCTTTATTGACATAGGTATACCTATGTATTTGATGATGTTTGATTTTTTCATCACTCCGTTTTTCTCCACCGCCAATTACAACATCCAACTATGGTTATTATTACTTTCATTAAAAACTTCTTCTGTTAACTACTTGATCACGGGCTCAATGATGCTTTCTGGCCGGGAGCGTGTTGTAGTCGGCGCGCACCTTTCACTATCAGACGCCGGGGAATCGGCAGAGCTTCTCTGCATGCAAACGGCCCACCTATCTGCACGGCCACACCTTGCCCTCGCCCGGCCGGGCACGCTTTATGGGCGGTGGATGCATTGAGACGCCTTTCGATGCAATAAATGCCTTAGGTATAAGAACCGAACCGCTTTCATCGCGTCTCGTTTGTAGTTGCTGTAAGAATGTGGGAATAATTTTTTTTTTGTGCTTGGTATCGTGTACGGCGCATTGCATTGGAACGTATCATTTTATTTATATAATGATCATGCTCATGTGCAATTACATGTTCCATAGTAACGATGGTCATATATTACTTTTATTCCTCCTTTGCGTCTCTTGTAAGCACGCACTCCCTGTTGCTTCAGCAAACAAGATAAATGCTTTATGACGTTTTAAAGTTTTACTCAGTTACATAACCTCGCTGTGCATGCAGAATAAAGGCATGCCATACTTGTTTACATAAAACATGCTACTGGATCAGATCATCTGATGTCAAATTTAACCGGAGCGAACTCTAGGCCCTTGATATATCTTTACTTAGTCACATTCCTTTCCTATTTTCTTGTCTATTTTTAGGCTGTTAAGATACAATTCAGAGGTTGTATTGTGATTGACAAAGTTTTGGCATGGTAGTCACACCATCGTGTTTCCTTGGTTTGTCTAAAATTAGCCAGCGGCGTAGGTATGTATACGGCCATTTCTCCAGCGTTGCTGTAATGGCGACGGACTACCTTTGCCGCACGAGAAGTTGCGTGTCACGATCAAACCGCAAATACTCCCATTTACAAGCGTGCGCCTTTAATTTCCCGTTAATAAATTAATGCGCACTAATGATAATTTCAGAACCTGTCGAAAGCGCAGTTAGACAGCTTAACTCGGCCATAAAATGGCCATAATGCAGCCATTATACTCGGCACCTCGGTTGATCGAAGCAAGTGCTGCCGTTCTGATTGTGCTACAAATTACGTTGGAGGCCATTCGCGAGGATTGATGGGCCGGATGCCGGGGGTGGATTACCGGTGCGGGCCGGCTGCGAACGCTGACTAATTGGTGAGCGCTGCCGGCGGCACTGCTGGCCCGGCGCAGAGTGCGTGACTGCGTGAGGTCCATCTGCTTGCACCGCAACTGGTCAGCGCGGCGAGCCCGCCGGCCGCAGCGCTGATACCGCGCACCGCTGACCGGCTGGCGCCCCGCTGAGCACATCAGCACTGAAATGCCTGAGCACTGCAGGGCCGTTTGCATTGTGGCACAGTTGTCTTTACTTAATTCAGTAACGCTCAGATACTGAAATGAGTTAAACGTTTTTCTAAAGCTTGGCGGTCGAGTCAATTTGGAGATGAGACTTTTTGGCAGCAGATGGTCTAACTTGCCATTGAGATGTCTGACATTAGTAAGCACGTCACGATTCGCTACCGGGTGATGTGGCCTCAAACCTCTACAATCGACATTCGTGGTTATCATGTCAAGGAGTTGAGAGCCCGTCTGGATATAGCAAGGACCGAGCTGTTCCCGAATCCCTTTCATATTGCTGTGTAGTGTCGCCGAACCGCCCTAAGAAGGATTAAATGTTAGCTAATCACGATATGAAAGCCGAACTCACTATTTTTAACATAATCTTGCCGATTTGCCCATACATGTGGCATAATCCAATAAGGATAAGCCCACCCGGCGACGTCTTGAGTGCCAGCTTACATTTGTTCGGATTCTGTCTGTCCTGTCAGCAGTCAAATCTTTCCGTGCCTGCAACTAAGCAGTCCAGTAAAATCAGCACACGTGACACGAGTCATGGCGACTGATGACTGATGAGCGACGAGTGAAGAGTGACGAGTGATAAATGCGAATGTCAAGTGACGACTGACGACTGTTGATCCGACGACTGATGATTCGACGACTAATGGTTATATGAGTGAAGAATGGCGACTAACGAAAAAACAACCATTCAGAGCTGATATCCGACGGGCAGGTATTACTGATCCCACTGATCTCAGCTACGCACTGATCTGAGCCTAATGGTGATGTGGAATTCCTTATCCCTGACCTCCAAATCCCGATCCTGCCATGCGCTGTAGGTGTACTGACAGCAGTATATGCCTCTATGGCTGCGCTGTTGACTATTGTGCTCGCTAACCGGCGTCCGTTTTACATATGTTTACAGATGCTGGCGAACAATGACTGACGCCCTGCCGCCGGGACTATGGTAGCGTCCTTGTTGCTCTGGTGCCTCTGCATGGCGGCACTCAGCCTGCCCCACGGCACGACGGCCGACGGTGAGTGTTTGTCTCGCACGTGCTTGTCTCCCGTGCTTGTCTCACCACGTGTGTTTGTCTCACGTGGCTGTCTCATGGGTATCTGCTTCACGTCGCCCCCTGTGGTCTATCCGTTCCTTGGAATGCAGACGCTGAATATAAGGTGCACCCTAATGTGCCCGCTGCCTCAGTCAACTGCAGTGGCTATGCTGCTATCTGTGAGATAGTAAACCGCAGGTTGAGTGTGCTGAACTATCCACTTCTCAGCGTGGGTTGCAGCACTGTCGTGCCTCGAATCCACGTCATCGCTGTATGGATTGCAAGGCGTCGCGATGAGTGGCGATCGTATAAAGCTGCACTATGGGATGTTTTGGACGTACTTATTCTCGATGACTGCTACTCGAGTGCGGATCAAATGTCAAGTGGTAGCGCATTGCGATGCCACAATTTTCAAAGGACAATTCAACAAAGAGCGAGACGTATTTCGTGTGTAGGTGTCCAACAAAGAAAAGAGCGATTGCAAAGCTGGCAATTGCAAGTGAGTCACGATTCTGATTATAAGTTACAACATTCGCTATCAATTGAACAAGCTGAGTGGCCTAATTAGATGAAGTTGTAGAATGATCCCATTTCGATATTCGGCTTTAGAGCTGGCTGATGAATACGAGAAATGGGTCTCACAAAAAAGCGGCACAAAATGTAAGGATTCATCCAGTTCGCTTCGAACACCAAAGTGATGTAAATGCTACATCAATGTCGTCTGCATTTAGGTGATGAAACCCATCGTTGAGGCGATTTACCTACCAAAATATCTTCACTTGCCTGAAAAGGACAGACGGTTGATCCTTTAACTATAAAGAAAAGTAAGAGGCACCGTACTGTTTCTGCACAGTCAACTAGAATTAGCGCTTCCAGGAATTTTAATTCCGAACGTTGTTGACTTGCGGTATTTATGGTTACTGGCTAGGCCACGTTTTCACATATCTCTGTCTTCCTGAAATAAGTTTTTGTTTGACTTGCTAAGCGTCCATTGTGTCCGCTAAGTCGGAAGCGGCTGGTGGGCGGGCGCGCTGAATGGGAGCGATACCATCGCACTGTCCTTGAGTGCGTCAATGTGACCTGCTTGGAGGGGCGGCCGGCAACTGCTGCAGCTGAGGGGCCCGAGCGGCCGGAGCCCGCGTGGTCGCCGCTCACCATTGCACCTGTCACCGGCGGGTCTCGCGGACACTCTGCGCACCCCCGCCGGGCCTCGCGGACACTCCGCGCACCCCGCCGGGCCCCGGAACCCACCTCTGTCTCCCGCCCGGCGCAGTGTGCACCGCCGCTGTCACCATGCGCCGCGACCCGGCAGGAAAACGGCCTGTCAGAGCCGCCCGGCGCTATGCAGGTGCCACGACGTGCAGCGCGGCACACCGTGGCGCGAAAAATAAACAAATGCTCACTTTTCCGTCACGACGTGCTGGCGGTCGTGCGCCGTCAAACGACGTGCCCGGTCGGCGTTCGCGGCTGTCGAGACGGCCGGCGAGGCCCCCGGGCCGGTGCGGGCAGTCGACAGTGGGCCCCGGCCATGCGCCAGCGACGTGACACGGCTGGAAAAGTGGCCGCCGCGACGACCGGCCGATCGCGTGGTCGTAGTGCGGCATTTTTGTCCGCGCCGCGGTCGCGCTGCTTCGGGAAGCGGCGTGGTGGCCGCTAATACCACGCTGGTGCCCAATTGAGCTGTCGACGACGGGCCTGCGGTCGGTGACGCAGGAGCCGTGGGCTGATCGCGCCACACAAAAATCAACAGCAAACTGCCAGCGACATTTAATTTACGCTTGATGCCACAATTGTTCTGAGCTTGTTATAAAAATGTAGGTGATGTTGTATTACCGGAATTTCTGCAAATATGTCATTTGTTGCTTCATGCATGTTACTGGAAAAGTCATTGTTGCCGGGTTGTTAAGGCTCTTTGTCGTCATGAATGTTGTATGATGTTCTCCGTTAGTTTCTTTTGCGCGGATGGTATTTCTTCATACGTAGACCTAAGAATGACATTGAGACAATGATTTCTCACCCGATACGCTAGCCAGTCGTCATGATTTGACCAGTAACCGGGCTGCTCTCGCGGCTGTAGGTATCCGTTCGCTCACTGGCTCCTTGATCCTTCACGCTTGTTACGCAATACGAGTATGTGGCGACACTTGCACAAATGACTTTGCTCCTTGCGGGGTGCGTACCGCAGGCGTCGTGATAAATTACACGCTGGCATCGACGTGCCGCTGCAATTTGACGGAGCCATGCCGCATCTGCACTGAGCGACACCGTGTCTGCCCATACCCAGGACCACTCCCCATGCTACAGCTGCACTATGTCAGGAATGCTGACCGCCGTATGCCGCCTCAGATCTCTGGCCTGCACTGTCCGCGGGGCGGCGCCGGGGGGGGCACTGACCTCTCGAACGCAGTCGGAGTAAACTGACCTCGTGTAGGTCCCCAGGCGCCGTCCATCTGTCCGTGGTCCGAGGGCCTGGTCGGAACTGAGCCGACGCCACTGGCAGTCCGGTCACGAGTACTGTCGATGGGGGTGTGGTTATTGGCGCTGTATAGTGTATAATGTATGCTTTATTGTTACGACTCCCATAACCCCCAATAGTAGTAATCCATGTATGTATGTGCACTTACATGTTGTTCCTAACCCCATGCTCAAGTGCGCCATTTTCTGAATGATTTAATTGTAATCGAGGACATTGTTTATTGGCTAGGATCGTATCGATCTTACGATTAACTCATAGCTTGAAATGTGAATGGTAATAGGCTATTCTGACCTGAACTTTGCTGCTCTAGGACATCACCTGATCTATGACCCCCCCCCCCCTCAGAGCCTATGATTTGAGCTAACGTGACCTGTGCAGTTCCCTCGAACGGAGGACCCGATCTGTCCGTGCCTGGCATGACCTGACCTGAGCAGCTCCCAAATTCTGTGACGTGATCCGATGTGACTGACCTGACCTGTGTCGCTTCCCAAAGTTTATGGCATGGCATAAGCTGCACCTCAAAGTACTTTTTGACCTGACCTGACTTTTGCCCCTCCCCCAGAGCCGGACCTGTGCGTGGTGGACCGGCTGGTGTCGTCTCCGTTTTCGGCGCGGATCCTGCAGCGGGTGTCCTCGTCTGGCTGCTTCAGCCGGCGAGTGTCCCCGCGGGGACAGGAGGTGCACGTGGTGCGACTGTCGGCGCCGCGCGACCCGCACCGGCGACAGGTCAGTACCTACCTGAGGGTCGCTGAGGGTCACTGAGGAGTGAGGGGCACACAGGTCAGTCGCGAATGTTACGCAGGTTAGCCGCTGAAAGTCGCTGAGTTCAGATGGTTCAGCAGTCAGCACTGAGGTCACTAAGGTTCACCCGGGTCAGCGCAAGGCCACTGAGGTTCACACGGACCAGTCACTGAAGGTCATCGAGGGTCAGCCATTGAGATCATTGCACGGTCACCTTGAGATCAGCCACTGGGGTTGCGTAGGTCAGCCGCTAAGGTTACAGGGGTTACCCAGATCAGTTACAAGTCATCTGGGTCACACTACCCGGGTGCCAGCTCAGCCACTGAGGTCAGTTACGGAGGACACTGGTATGTGCAGCGCATGGCCCCTCCCTCCCCCTGAGCCCGGGGTACGGTGGATCGGTTTGACCCGGCCCATTGAGGCAGTCGTGCAAGTCATGGCCGAGGACAAAGGTTGAAACGGTGCTGGGAAATCGTGTTGTTGAAACTGAATGGCTTGTTTTGAAAACCGAAGAACATGTGTGGTCGCTGGAAGCAGGGCACCGTGGGTGTTCTGTCACGGCTTTTTACTGGCTGTCTATTCAGAGCTGAGTCAAGGAAAACGAACTTGTTACTGACAGTTGCCACAGCTTTAACTAATGAACTTGCTGGAAACGCTTCTAGTGGCTAAGTGAACTTAACGGTAGGCATTTTCCTGGAACATACCCACATTAAGTTACCTGGAAGTGAAAGAAATCACTCTCATGTTTCATCAGAGCTGCATTCCACATTACCCAGACATTTTCGCTTGAAAATAAGCCAGCATTTGGGAGGGAGAACTGTGAAAATAACTCGTTAGGGAAGAAGCTTTTACGAGTAGGTACACTGCAGTGTAAGGAACAATAGCATGTCTGGAATCCACCTTGATGGTCGGCAGGTTTTTTTATCCAGTGGGAAATTAGACAATAAACGTGACTAGCAAACTCATAATGGATTTAGCTGGCATTAGATAACACAACTATCAGTCCATGGTTAAAATATTTTATCCATCATGCATTGCTCCCGGAGCCGTGTAACTCAAAGCGTGCACTCCTTTGCCTCGAACATGTTCCTCTGCTCTGTGGGCGGGCGGGCTCCTTCGGAACTCCCACGTCGTCCAGGCCGTCATAAAAAGGCCACCACGGCGCAGCTGATAGAGCCAGTGACGTCATCAGGACCGCGGTCAATCAGAGCTGTGGCTCAGCCGTGACGTCACTGATCTGCCCGGTCGGCCGCGGGCTGTCGTGTTGATGTGTGTTTGTGTCAAAGATAGGGGTGTTTCGCGGTGCCGGGGAGGGTATAGGTAGCTGTATGGTAAGATAGGTAGTCTCTTGATGCTTGACAGGGACAAGGTCACGAGAGGTGGCATCAATGGCGGGTTCAAAGGCGGGGATTGAATTATTGGATCCTCTCACTAGCCCCAATGGCCGATATTTTATTAATGGTAGTCAGCTACTCCCTATGCCGTTTCCTATGTCAGTACCTATGCCGTTTCCTAAACACATCATGGATAAAAGAGCAAGCTTAAAATCCGTTCTTTTGATATGGTGTGCTGTGTCTCGCTGGTTAACGATGGCCCATCTCATTTGAATAGTAAATGGAAATGCTGACTAGATTACCGAGCTTATTAATGCCTGAATTGACCTCCATTGGAATCGGGACGGGGAGATGAGCCGCTCAGCCGAGTGAAGCTGCTAAAAAATTTAACCCTTCACTGTAAAAAAAACTTACAAGCCCCTCGTAGAGGAATTCTCAGCGCAAAAATAACATTGCAGGAGCGTGTAAATTTGGCTAATTTTAGGCTAGTTGCCGAGTAACAAGCTTGTTCGACAAGGCTGTGCCTCGTATGCATACGACCACCGTGCTCCACCTAGTTTGACAACACGCACGTAAATAGCGTGGGTAGTGCGTCTACTAGGTGTCATAACAGCCCCTGCCTGGTAAGGTAACTAGCCACTGCCTACTAATCGATACCCAGTAATGGTACTAGCCCCCAAGGCTAGTAATGGTACTAGCTCAAGGCCAGTAGTGGCACTAGTTAACTAGTACCACTACTGGCCTTCGGGGTCGAGGCACGGTCGACGGAATTCCGTCGACCAGTGCCCCCGACTCTCGACCGCCACCCGCAAGTAAACAGACTGAGTAGCGCTGCAGCACATTTATTCGGGCACGAGAACGAGAACGAGAACAATAACAACGCCAGGACAATAACTATAACTTTAACAACAACAACAACAACAACAACAACAACAACAACAACAACAACAACAACAACTAACTGAATAATTTTCAATAAGGTTTCTTAAATAACCACCATCAAACATTTGTGATTTTTTCATTAGCTCTGCACCGGCGGCAGTCGCGGGGTGCAGGTAGGCCAGGACATACATGGCCCCATTCTTCACCAGAGAAGTCTGTAATGGGTGAAAAAACGAATATTAACATTATTATTATCATAAGGCATACCAATCTGGAAAATGATTAAATTAAAGTTGAATAAAGTGATAGATTCCTGCCACAAGCTAGCTTAAGTCCCAAACATATAGCTATTCTGACTTGGATAGACGATACCGGCGCACTTCTGCCAACGACGGGCAACATTATGCGATACTATACATCTTCTAAGAAGCTCAACAACATAATAACCTTTGTTTACAAATGGACAACCTTTTTGTTGAGCACACAGCAAATGATACAAGATGCCTCACCTTCAATCAAGCCAAAGAGCAGTTGGGCAGACACACACAGCAATGGCGACGCAACACAAAATGGACGCCGGCTCCCGGAAGCGGGGGGGGGGGGGGGACTCCTTCTGAAAGCAGCCACAGACTCCTAGGTTGTAACATGCGACGAGGATAGCTATGAGGCACATCCTCATAGCCATCCGAAGCCGCTTACCACGCAAGCTTGCCAGCACGTTTACCAGCTGCAGGCGTTCGTGACAACAAGCGGGGTTGCACGCAAGGTTATCCGTTTAGTAGGTGCCAGCCGGGGCCTCGTCAGCTGAGCTAATAGCGAAATGACCTAATTGAGGGACACGCTAAAAACTGGCCGAGAACAAGCCAACGGCGGGTAACACTGTGAGGCTGTGCGTAGTTCATTAACACTGCGCAAAATTAGGTTCCTGAACATGTTCTCGCTCGTAGGCATTTGTTCCACAAGCGGCATTGTTAACGTGCATGGCTCTGACTACTAATGTCCATATATGTTGTAACGAGGAGCAAGGGAGGCACTCGTAAAAAATGCCTAATTTCAAAATTAGCTAGTGAATTTTTTTTTACAGTGTTTGTCGGCCAGTTTCGAATCTCTCCGGTCTACCCTCCCACCCAACCACTCGCCGGGAGCTCAATGGACCCTCTCGGAAACTCTGAAGGCGCGGCCGCCATTTACTGCCATTGGTGCGCTTCCGACCGGGCGTCTCACACACAGAGCGGGGCGTCGGGCCGTCTTCCGGATACCGATTGGGCGATTCAATCACCTCCATTTCTCAGCGCGGGCCGTCTCTCGATTGGGCTGTTACCGCGCGCCGGTCCGGCCGGCCGGCCGGTCGGCCGGCCGGCCGGCGGCGACAGTTACATTTTCTACGGGAACCGGCCGGGCCGGGCGGCGGCCGGTGGCCGGCCATTTCCGGGCCGATCCATCTTCGTTAGAGCGTGACTAGTCACGTGGTCGGCGGCCATATGTCGGCAGTGCGGTCACGTGATCACCGGTGGACGCGATGTTTGTTGTGTAAAGCTGCGGAGGGTTCACTATACAATTATATAGTATTAAGACATTTGGAAGCGATGAAAAAGTGCTTCTTGCATTCCATCGCTTGGACGCGTTCTTTTTTCAAATGACTTAGGTAATAGGTAGATATGTTAAATACATAGGTATGCATCTTAATGTCAAATGCTCACCAATATTCAAGCGACGAGAAACGCTATGGTGGATTCATTTTGAAGTGACAGTTGACTTCTTTCTGTAAGAGACCTTTGCATTTTGACACATTGGTGCTAGCTGTGCACTGCAAATGTCAACATGATTGGCTGCCGACCATGGTAGCACAAAGCAATTCGAAAAAAGAACCAGTCGCTGACCTCTTCATTTGCTATGCACTCGAACAGATGGTAACTGTACACGTCACTTCGTTTTTTTTTTTAGATGCTTCTGCTTCATGCCTGCCGAGAAAGTTCAGCTCTGAAGCTGCCATCAATCCTGCGAATATAAATACCTACATTGCGTAATAAATCACTCAGATGTTATAGACACTCTGCACCGATGTAGGCAAGTCTCGATTGATCGTAACGCGTCGTGTGTGTCCGTGCGTCAGTCCCATTTGTTTGTAGCACTTAGTCGGTCCCGTGTCACCCTCCCCGCTCCAAACGACAGCTGTGCACACGCGGGCCCTCCCCTGCACCAGGTGTCTGTTCGAGGAGAACCCGCGTGAGAGCTAGTGGGGGTGCGCTTCGGTCGGGTTCGGTCTACCACGCCGGTGTGTGATGAGAGACCGCGGATCGGGCGGCTGTCAATCAGGGTCCTAACCCTACTTTAGCCCACCTGGCTTAGATATGAACACCGTTGACCTGGGTGTATGCCCGTGGCTGCGTCGGTAACCCCATAGGTAACCCGACTTTCAGCCTCCTTGTGTGAGCAGCAGGTGAATGATAAGGCGAACTCGGATGGAAATACAGCGAAATGTCGCAGCAACTGCGTCATTTCCTTTTTTGTTTGGCTAGTTATTTCATTTTAGCAATGCATCATCAATCACAAATCAATAAAACGACATGCGATATGATAAGATCTCTCTAAAAATACTATCGGTAATCAGATGCAAGCATTCCTGCATACCATGACCATTTACAAAACATGTAACGCGAGAGCACGCCCTGGTACGCCCCGGTTGGGCTCACCAATCACCTCTCATGCCATTCCTGCGCCGGACTGTGGGGTCACATTCCCCGGGGAGGGGGGGGGAGTGCCTGTGACTTGACCGGCCGAAAACAATGCATTGTGCATGCATGTAATGCATGGTCGCGTGTCCCGCTGTGTCCGTGGTAGGAGCACCGAGCTCACGGGAACACTATATACCCGGCCTATATTCTGCTGCGGCGGCAGGCGCGTGTTCGGCTTGATTATGTTTCGCTCTATATGCCGTTTGACGTCAATGTGTCGCCATGCTGACCGTTAGCTCTTGTTTCATGCAAATATAGCAGTCGCAATCCGCAGAACATTGCCACCTTTCACAGTTATCATTTTTTTCTGTGTTGCTTCTAGGTAGTTTTAAGCTATTTTTGGACAAACTTTGGGGAAAAGAAATCGCGCCTTATTAATGGCTCACTATTCCATTTGTTTTACATAAGTTACTTGTAATTTGAAATGCAGGTAAAAAATAACAATTATACAAGTAAAGCCCGGTCATCGCCAAACATAACAGATAAAGATCGGTGAAAACGTAAATGCAGAGTCACCTCAGTAACAGCGAACTGAACGGCTAACATTTTAGCTCATTAGCATTGAGCATGGTCGGAGTGATATTAATCGTCCACTCGCTCAAATTTGCGCTTCGTTCTTATCTGCTTACAGCGACAGCGTAGATCGCGCGTGTCCCCTATGTGCCACGTTACGTCCTACGGCGTTACCTCCTCCCACCTCGCGCCATAACTCATAGCTCGTCGTCGTGTCTCCCCTCGTCACGTCACGTCATACCGCGCCGCGTCTCCCCACGTCACATCACGTCACGCACGGCGCCGCTCCCCGAGCTGGGATCAATGGCCGAGGAGCGGCCGGCCGCCAGCTGCGTCCGTGCGCAGCGGCGGACCGCGCGGCGCCCGCAGGTCCCTGGGCGCACCACCGCGCCGTGCCCGCTGCTATCGATCTACCACGCATGTGAGCCGGCCGGGGAGCGGGAAGGGCATGGGGCGACCGACTGGGGAGAAGGAGAGAGGCGTCCATGAGCCGGTACTCAACCGGCCGACTGGGGAGTGCGGTGCTCGCTGCTCACTGCTTGTGGGCTGGTTAATTGGGGATCACGGGCCCGTCGCAGTCCAGATCGAAAAAAAAAAACAGGACAATCAGAACACGTGACCACGCCGTATTCAGTCCGGGCTTACCGTTTCATCAGTGACCTGTCGGAAGACACCACTGTTCTGAGCAAAAGTAGCCAGCACCTGAGCGCCCCGGGCTGTGGCAACCAGCACCACACCTGGGCTTGCATGCTGACGGCCCAGCCGTTACCATCGCGGCCGTGCTATTTGTTTTACTACTACGTAGTACGTCCAGTTCCTGTTAGAAGTTTGCCAACACAAGCTGCTTGGATGGTGTAAGTGCAACTGCAGAGCACCCCATTCAGCGACATCCTAATGACATTTCTGACGGACATACGTCGGAAAGTTTCAACAGCCATCTGGCCGTTTCAACTTCTATGCACTGGGCCATTTCACGAAGTGTCAATGGTTCATGTAAAACTTTATGCGAAACTTGAATTAACGCCTAAGTTTTACAACTTGTAAAAGTTACGATGCTTTCGCATCCGTGTCCAATTGCTACTTGCTCGAAGAATTAACTAAATCCGATCACGATATCTCCTGCTTAATTCAATGTCATTTGGCCCCTTAGAATGTAAATATATGTAGTATTTAAATCCTAGCACACAAACTTGGCCAAATGATTATTTCGTTTTTGCGAAGGCTGCCTGTCCTCTGGGAGGCTGTTGGCGGCGCAGTGCTACCGCTGTCGGCGGATGGCGTCCGGCAGCGGCAGCGGTGGCGGTGCGCCATCGGACCACGCGCGTCAGCCGGCGCCGGCCATCCGTCAGCGCGCCGCGCGCCCGTCACCGACGGAGCCTCGTGCGCGTGCTGACGTCATCCCGTCGAGGCCGCCGCTATTTCGAGCGGCGCGGACGGCCGGCGCGCGTACGCCGCTCGCCGCGCTCTCTGGCTCCCCCTCCTCTGCCGCTCTCGCTGCGGGCCGGAGTTGCGGCGTAGTTTGGCGTCGGCCCGGCCCGAGAGGCTCCGTCAGCGGGCCGGGCAGAGGCCGCCACGGACCGGACCGACGCCTGGCGAGCGGTGCCACCAAAATGGCGCCCCAGTTCCAAACGAATGTGCTGAATTGATGCATTTTTGTCGTTGATTTAGAAATAGAATTCACATACCATTCTTAATGCTATCGCATAATTTTTTGCATTGCAGCGCGCAGAAGGTGATTTTGGATCCGTTATGTAACCTAATCGGTTTTCATTCGTGGACTTGTTACGGAATGGGATTGCGTGTATTATTTAGACTCGTATTATATAATGCGGTATTATTTACTTGATATTATATTTGATAGCATACTTAACCTCATTCGCGACGCAAATAGGTCCGTGATGCAATCTATCGAAAAGAAATAATCCGCACAGTCGCTTTGCTGGAAACTACAATTACACTGACTGTCCTGTCCCACTCATCCATAGCGCTCCATCCGTCCGTCCGTCCGTCCGTCCATCCGTCCTTCCGTCCGTCCGTCCCTCGGTCGGCCGGATCTGTCGCTCTCCATCTTGCCGGCGTCCTCCATCTCCCCGGAAATACCGACCCGCCGGCCCCTGTCCACGCTCGGCCGGAGAAGGCATAAGTGACCCGCATCCTGCCGACCCGTGCTCAAACCCCGTGACTGGGGTACGTCGATGCCTGCACCGGCCTTGTTAACACCACGAGACTGTCCGGGACAGCAGGAGCGACGCAGGGGACACGGCACTGTTTAGCGGCCACTGACATCCGTCTTGAGCCACTGGCTCTGTAGAAGGGTTCTTCCGCGGTGGGACGGGAGCTAGAGGTATAGTTTGTAGTCTGTATGTTGTCTAATCGTAATGTTTGTACGTTAAAAGCTGAACCACATAAAACCCTGTATGTTATCTTATTGTCATGTTTGTAATTACTTTGAAAGCTGAACCAGATAAAACCCATGTTGTGCCGTCGACCGCCAGAGCTGTAATGCTGCCGTTTTGCGCCATGGTTCTCGTCCTGTGCTCCCGAGTGTCTCCCAGCTGTTGCTCTGTGCACCGTTTAATGCCTCTGTTGCTGTGTAAGCCGCTCGCTCCGCTGACGCCCCTCTCTCACCTCCGGCAGGCCCGCCGGAGCGTCACGCTCACCGTGTTCTCACCCACGGACGGCAGCTCTCACAGCCGTGAGATCATCATCGTGCTCGCCTCATCAACGCCCGTCGACTGGTGAGTGGTTCCCGACGCCCGTCTCCTCTGCCGAACTGCTGGTGTCGAATGGTTTGATGCAGGCTTCATAACACTATCCCGTGGCTCTACACATACGCACCTGTAATTGGTGCATTACCGACAGCCCTCCCATTCTATCAATCTAAGCGTTAGCATCTTCGTTCTCTTTGCATTGTGAGTAAACCTCCCTTCTCCCATAGACGGGCGATTGTTTTTCTTCTTTCCTCGGCTGTCCAGCGCTATCAACGCTAGCCGTCGCTTTTATACCATGCCGTTATGTACGATGCGTCTTTCACCGGCGTTTGCGATGCTTTTTTACGTACGATGCTTCTTCAGTCGATCTTACTGATACGGTGCAGCATTGCTGAATACTGCAAATGCAGTGGAATAACATGCACATGGCACATACATACTGCGATGAAGAGTAATGCCATTGTAACATGTGCCTCGTACCGCGATAAATGCACAACATATGATGCTTTGATATGCCACTTAATGGCTTATCAAATTGAGCTATTTTTTGTGTGTCAACTGAGCCTTTGTTTTATTTTCAGGACGATTCATGGCCACAATGGATTCCTAAATGGCACATCGTTTCAAATAATTGTGAGTATACCTATTTTATTTTGGTCTTTTTGCAACTTCGAGAATTTGCTGCCTGCATAGTGTATTGCTTCTATAATTGCGAAGTTCATTTGTGTTATTTGTGTGAAGGACATGTGCTATATGTCGAGATTATCATTCAAAGCATAAGCATCCGTTTGTCGTTTATCTGTGATGCGCTACAGCTCAATTGGCTTCTGGTGTGTCAAGAATGCCAGCTCAGTACCTGACTCGCCGACAGAGCCATAAACACCATTTGTGGTTTATGTTGGGAGGTCTCCCGGGACTCCGGGTGGTGACATTCGCATCTCTGGCCCGGCTCGGTGGTCGGTGTCACGCTAAAGGTCACTCCTGCCAGCTCTGACCAAATGTCAGGGTCTGAACATGCCGGATGAGAGACGCCGCGCCTCTCGACTGTCACCGGGGCCTGCGCACTTCTGACATTCTGATACTACCCTACAGGTTAAAATTGTTTCGGTACGCGCAGTCCGGCTGATAACACTTCATCCAACCCGTGCCGGTTGCGGCAATTTATAGGTTACGGTAGAAGTTATCTGATATAAGTATTCCTGTTTACTGATGGAGATAATAGAAGCTCGATTGATCGCAGCTTGTATGTGATACTGACGTTTTGGCATCTAATGGCCTGTTGATATGTTTTTGTTTATTACGAAGGCCCTCTTTCATAGAATGCATACTATATGTATACCTCTGAAACTTTGCAGAAGGAATAGGGATTCGAACCCGGCTTTTTCTTCGGTCGGTCGGCTCTGGGTGAAAGACGAGTCAATGCTCCCTCGTCCGTCCGACAGCAGAGGACCGCCGCGGCGGCACGGGAGTGCGGGCGCTGGTTCCCCGTCCCTCCCTGCGCCCTTTCAGCGCCCTCCCCAACAATGAGGCGCGGCCCGGATGGGTCGTTGAACCGGCCCTTCAGGGTCGAACGGGGAGGCGCGAACGGGACCAGCTGGAAGGGGGACTGTGGGACCCAGCTGTCGTGTAACTGGGGAGACTTGGGAAGCTGTCAGCCGGTTCATTGGTGACGAGGGAGGCCAAATGCGGGGCGCTTGACGTAGGTCCACCGGCTACTCTCCTTATCTGCAAAAAAAAGCGTGCTGGATGAGAGTGTTATTTCAGCGGTTAGCGCTATCTGAGAATGTCATTTGCCATGAGGCACATTCATCTGCGCACTACGCCAGTGTCAGCCGTTATCGGGTGACCTTTGTGATTGTCGAGTGACCTTTAGCGGTGCGTAAAAGCTCGAGTAGCGCTACCACATACCGATGAAGATAACAAATCACATTGACGCTGAGGGCCATAAGTGCATCATGGGATCAAACTGTCGGGCTACATTCCCCTCAGTAAATACACGACAGTGGGCACGGTGGACCGGACACGTCTTACTGGACAGTGGACACAGGACAGCGAAACTCAGCGGGCTGTCATCAGGGACTTCTGGAAGGCCAGGGACCCGGCCGGTTTCAAGTTACGCTCTGTTTCCTGGAAGCAGAGGCGCCATCAGTAGCGCTGTTTATTCGCACTGACAACGCTGTTAGCGCTTGTTCAAATCCTGCATCGGGACTTGTATGTCGTTACAGTTTACGTTTTGCGTATCGGATGTGTACTTGGAGGTTTTTCTTGTAAGGCTTCACTGGAAACGGAGACCATATTTGTGTGTCGCGTGATATGCGGTAAAGGGAAATTTGTTCAAACTCTGTGCTGTAGCGCTTAGTCGTTTTTAAGCATTTTATCAGAAACTGTGGCTTTCAACTATCAGATGCTTCTGCTTCTCGTAGAAAAGCCCTAATAATGAGCTTCACGCAATCATTATATAATGCACACTTTGATATTTTTCTTTGCTGTGATCATTGATCAAAACGTTTCATCAGTAGAAAACAACAGAAATTGCGTGAATATACGGCCCTGCATTGCTTGAACGAATGATTCATTGGAGTGATGATTGCTTTTTCATCACGTCTTTTTTATAATCGTTATCCAAAATTGCAAACCTTTGCTTCCATATGTTGATGCTCTTGCCTATTCAAAAATATGCAAAGTGGGCTCTCAAATAACTGATTATGTGTAAAATCAATTTATCAGACTTTTATAAGTCGTGATAGATTCGGATCCAGGTAGTCTGCGTGAAAATGCAGGACTTTCGGTAAATTTCCTTGGGTCTCCCTGTGACTCACTGCCACGAGCAGGGCCATCCGCGGGGCCAGGCCAGGACCAAACGCAGTGACGCAGCTCGGTCCGGACTCGAGCCGGCGTGTGGTGTGCGTCACGACGGGGCAGAACATCGCACACAGATGTAAACACTGACCGGTCGACCCGGACGCGGGCGGCGCCGGCCGGCCGGGCGGTGTCTGTGATCGGCCGAGTGCACGCGGCTGTGGTCCTCTGTCAGCCAGCGCCAGTTGACCACGGGCCGGTGTCGGTCCGTCATTGTTGCACGATGGGCCGATTTACGGCGGCGCCAATCTGCAGTCGGCCAATATAGGCGGTGACTGTTAACGGCGCTCTCGCAGCGGCGAATAAACGGGCGCCCACGCCCCGCCGGCCGCGCTGGGCAAACACTGGCGCCGCCGAGATGAGAGGAGCCGTTCGAAGGGGAGGGAACCCGCAACACCGGGCTACATCGGCACAGGGTTATATTTCCTGCACAGAGTGCACAGAGCACGGTGTCAAATCCGCTATGCAGACCGCAAACTTCCGGAAAACGTGCACAAATGATGCCACTGAGTTTTGTGTCGGCATCGCCGGTCATCAAGTATGTGTGCACCAAATGACATGCTGGGCGGATAGCTGTTCCGTTATGTGGTGAATGGCGGTGAATGGGGTGAATTTTGCGCTTTGATTCCCATCGAGCCTGTGGAAAATCGATTTCACGACCGAGTGCGCTCGGGTGTGATCACCTGCTGTCGGTTTGTGCGAAGCGCGGGTGGTGACGTGATCAGATGGGCGGCGCGCACATTGTGCAGCTGATAGGACCAAAGTGCCGCCCTCTCCCCGTAGTGAGTAATCACTCGCTCATTAGGGGGCCTTTCTAGAATGTTGACCTACACTGAGCAATATGCGGCGTGTGAGTCCTGGTATTGCTTCCTTTTAATGAAACATTTTCTACCGAATATTAAACTTTTGTTGGGTTTGTCAATTAAAATGTGAATATCATGTACAGAAAGACTTTGACTTTGTACCTAATATTTGCGCAATACATCAACCATGCCAAGTTACACATGCCTGGTTAACTGCTTAGTGCTTTGATGAGATTTATGTTCGTTAAGCCATGTAAAATCACTTATTGAGATGACGATTGAAACCAGTGCCCATGACAACGGCTAATGACAAACGAGAAAAGGATGTTCTAGAGCCCAAATAACCGAACACTTTTCCTCGATTAAAACCCGTTTCTTCATCGCTGGTGTGCGCGTCTGTCGCGCTGGTGGCGTCACAAATGTGACGCGCGCGCCGTCGTTCGTCACACACCCGCGGCGCGCGCCGTTTCCGATGGCGATTACGCGCCATCGGGGGTCGATTTAGGCCGCCATCCCATCGCCCAAACGGACAGGCTGTGAGCCGCCGAGTCCAATCTAAGCGTGTCGCCGCTCACTTCTGTGAACTCACCGGCAAACGGCTTGGGAAACGTGTTCTCAGCATCCGCTTATGTGGTCAAATGGCTTCCGTTTTAACCGCATAACACGCAGGTAGTTCATGAATGAAACCGCAGCTATTCGGCTGATGTAACGCGAAACGGTTTGAAAACGGTCATTTCGGTAAATGGTATGCATGTGGATCATAAATCATGTGGAGGTGGAGCGTTTGGAGCTGTCATTTGCAGTCCTCGCCTCAGCCCGGCGTGTCGGTTGTTCCCTGGCGTGACTGGTGCCGGGGAACCATCAGTCCACCGCCACCTCAGCTGTCACATTGCCGCAGTTTGGCCAGATTTGTGTCCTAATGGCTTGGGTGGCCGATTCAAATCCATTCCGGTTGCCACTGTGGCTAGACGTGCAAGCTCGTATTTTTGCGACGTTATTGTGTGAGTTGTCGGGAAAATTCCAATTTAGGTGTAATATTCATGCAGTTTGCTGATGTTTGCAACCACTTACGCCATACTGATGATGATGGAACTGCTCCAGTGAACCTCCAAGCTGTTCATGTTCTCGGGTTATTTTCGTACACTGTGAATGAGCTCTGTCGGCTGGTTCGGCCGCAGCCGAGCGCTGCAGGTCGGTCTATCCGAGCTGCGGGTCTTTCTGTGGGCAGACCGGGCCGGCCAGGCGGAATGTTGATTGGAAGTCGGATGATTGGGATGGCCGGCATGACTGACCCGCTATCCAGCCGGCGGCCGGTCCATTCAGAGGAAATTCCGCGCCTCCCCCGCCAGCACGTCTTTTCCGCCGGCCGCAGGCTGCATACTGAAACGGCGTGTTACGACGACCGAACCTAATGGTGCTACCTGCTTAAAATGCATTCCTCCGTGCACGCCAGAGGTATTGAAGCATCAATGAGCTGCACTGACTTACAAATCGGCACGCTCGTAAACGTTTATCTGTGCTCTCTTAGACTCTAACGTGGTAGCGCTTTGAATGTTTTCAAGCTCAAATCAAACACTATGTTAGTCATTCAACGGGGCTGGAGAGGGAGGCTCACACAATGTGAGCCTCAATTTCCTATCTACCCTGACGAATGACGATGTGACCCCACTCGCTGACCGTTCCCCCGCCCGTCTCTCACGCACAGGTGACCAAGCGCTCTCAGGTGGTACGCTGCGACCTCTCGCCCTACACGGTGCGCTCGCAGCGCGTGCGCGGCCGCGAGGGTCTGCTCAAGTTCGTCATGAGCCGACTGCAGGCGGTCACCTCTTTGTCGGCGGTCGGAGCTGCTGACACCATCGACCTCACCGTGGGCATTGGTAAGTGCCGCGGGCGAGTCCACCGGCGCGCTTCCCGCGGGGGAGGAAACTCCCGTTGACGTCACCAGCACGCGCCGGCTGAATGGACTGCCCGGCTGGGGCGGCGGCGGCGAAGGGCCGGCGCACGCTGGGACCCTCCACCCAGCCGGCACCGGCGCGGCCGCGTGAAAGGAATGACGTCAGTCAGAACAAACCATCTCCGCCCTCAGCACTCATCAGTCGCCGTTAAAAACACAAACCTGCTTGTAGCCTATTCATTCATGCAATGCACCACGACTTCACGTGTCCGTAAAACGAATACCAGTTGCTCACTTGCTATTCATATCACAGCAATGCCGAAAAATGCATGCTGCTTTTCCATAAAACGTCTCATCGCAAGCGTTTTGTTGATTACGTACCACAGTGCAAACGCCTGAAGATAGACTGTGCCGCACTACACACGCCTGAAGGTAGACTGCACCGCACCACACACGCCTGAAGTAGACTGTGCCCCACTACACACGCCTGAAGATAGACTGTGCCGCAGTACACACGCCTGTAGGTAAACTGCACCGCACGACTCGCGTCGGAAGGTAGACTGTGCCGCACTACACACGCCACGCCTGAATGCAGGCTGATCCGCAGTACACACGCCTGAAGGTTGACTGCCGCCGTACAAACACCTGAAGCTAGACTGCCCCGCAGTACACACGCCTAAGGTTAGACTGTCTTACAGTATAAACGCCTGAAGTTGAACTGTACTACACTACGCCTGAAGGTAGACTGTACCGCAGTACACACGCCTGAAGTAGACACACGCCTAAAGATAAACTGTACCGCAGTACGCACGCCGGGTGTCTTGTGTTTAAGTAACACCTCTATAGTTATAGACCACCCTTCACTACCATTTCTCAATCAAGCTTTCCTGTTGATGTCCGCTTGTATGCTCACTGTTTCCATTCTTACTAACTTGCTGTGAATTCGGATCTTGGCGATACAAAAAGTCAGACAAACCAGTTAATGCTCACTTGTTCTACCCCTCTCACATGATGATGCCGATGCGGCTTTTCTAAGATTCCTTAGTGTTGTGTCGTCAGTTTTGTGTGTTGTTTTTTAATTTTCTCAGTAACAATTTATTATTTTCTGATAATGCCCTGTTGCCTGTCGCTAAGTTTACTGAATAGTAGAGATCACACATTGATCACGTGCAACATCTGCTCACTGCACTGCACCAGTAGCACACCGCAGCGGCTCCGCCAAACCACACATCACTCACACGTCGGCAGCGACCGCCCGCGGACTGTACGAACCCTATCACCCTGGCCCACCGGGACTCCCCGAGGCCAGGGTCAGGCTCCGGCGTCGTCGGTAGCCGGATATTTAGGGACGCCGAATGCCGGTCCAGGCTGGCGGTAGGCAACGCGAACGGAAGTGGAGCGTTAGCCCCCTACTGCTGCGCCTTTGTTATCTTCCTGCCCGCCAAGGATTCTTTTCCGGCCGCTGTTGCCAGCAGCCTGCTCTGAGAGGAGTGCCGTCGATCTGTAGCTCTGCCTTCTCTGATAGCGACCCCCCCCCCCCCGGCCTGCCCTGAGAGCAGTGCGCAGCTGTCGTCACCTGCTTCAGTCTCTGCTCAAAGTCCGTTCCGCTGTAGTGCACAACAATGCTCAGCTGCCCAGCTCGTGGACGGATGTGGCCACTGGCCATGCATGGCGCGCGAAATAATTATTGAAATGTCGCCCAACTGGGCCCCGGCTGCGAGTCGGCGCGGCCGGTGTTTATGAGACGGGCGGGGCGGTATGGGAGGCGGTGGGCGGCGAGATAGAGATTGGCTTCGGTCGCTTTGCGGGTGGGAAAGATGAAGAGAGGGTGTGGGGAGGGGCGGCGACAGGCTCGATTAAAAAAAATAAAATGTAACGCGAGGTCAGATGGGCCGCAGCCCGCACCGATCGCGGGGTGAGTGGAGGCTGGAACTGCGCGGCGTGACAGTCACCCGGCTGGTTTTCATTTTGATGCCCCTGCTGTCGCCTGGGTGGCGCTGGTTTTGGCTGTGTCAGTAACACAGACACAGACTTGATGTGATCATGCTTTCACAGTGTAAATTGTCCGATAGGGTGTCAAGTGGGTGATGGTCGGATCTTGACACCTTACTAAGGCACCCCGCTGGGCGCTGTCGGTCGTAAACGTGACCTAGCAATGAGCAGGCTGGTGTTGATGTTGACACCAAGCAGCGGGCTCCCATGTTTGCGCCCGAGGCCCACCCCGCGCCGGTACAATCGCCCCTCGGACCGTACCGGGTGCACCTACACCCGGTGTATGAGTGGAGAGCCTCGGCATGCGCGCGCGCTCCGATATGCCTGTCACGTCCGGTGCACTCCACTCGCCAACTAATCCCGTGATAAGGTGCCGACACTGAGCCGCCAATAAACCGAGCTTAACATTTCACCTGGTGAGCCACCTGAATTCAAGCCTTTCGCCTCACGGCACCCGGGTATATCGTGTTTCTCGCGCGGCTGCTGACCGTGTAATTTTGTTTACCTCGGTCACGGACGGGCGCCGGCTGCAGGGGACGTGCCGGTGCCGTGTTTTGCCAGTGTGACTGCCACCCGCCCGGGGCCGGGCCGATGGGTACGGGCCGCGGCTGAGCGCGTCCGTCGGCCGCACGCGCCCACCCGCTGCCGGCGCCGAGCGCGGCCGACTGTTTGCAGTGCGGCTTCCTGGAAGCGGCGACGCTGGCGTGGGCCGGTGGTCAGTGGAGCGGCACCCCGGCCGGCTGGGTGGCCGGCCGGCGCGGCGGGACGCGCGCCCTGATAAATCGACTGCACTCACTCCGCGCTGCAGCTCGCAGAAGGGGCCCCTCAGGGATACTCCACAGATACGGCCGGCCCGCGGTACCCCGAACCGCTGACGGAGGCGGGCTTCTCTGGACCGTCTCACCGAAGTTTTCAGTTGTATTTTTGGATTTGCGCTGCATGATATAGCCTCGAGATATGTCAAGACTAAAATAGCAATGCCCCAAGGTGTAACAGATTATCCTAAAATAGTAGTTGAGATAAAACTTGAGGCAAAACTTTAAAACTTTCGCATTTGGTTGAACGACCAAAAATAGAGAAGTCGAACACAATATCCGCTGGCACATTGATTGTGCAATTTTTGGAAAAGATAGGTATAAATTTGAACAGAAAATGAATTGTTTCCGTTTGGATGCTACTATTGGCTCGAAGAGTTATTTCTATCTTTGATTGTTGAAAATCTATTCGAAGTCTATTTCTGCATAATGTTCCATGAAACCATTGCAGATACAGTATGGTCTGTGTCCTAGATGGTACTAAGACTAAACGCGATACTCAGCGAAGTTGGCTAAATGCTGCATCGTGCTCCTCCACCTACACAACCCGATTTCTAAGTGCTCGTCACTAATCTCTATCAGTGTCAGATCTAGTTCCTGATCCGCCTGACCTTTCCTATTGACATTTTCCTCCGAGACCCATCGTGACGCACGTATTCTCGGGTCCGACATCTGCGCTCTGCGATCTCACACGTCGCTGCCGCTGTGTTCATCTCATGCCGCTGCTGCTCGCTCGCCTCGCAGTGTCTCTGGCACCAGGCCAGAACACCCGGCTCACTCTATTGATTGTTGATACGCGTGCGCTGGCCGGCAGGGCCTCTCGCTGGTGGCGGTCCCCAGGCGACCTCTGGGGGCGCTGCTTAGGACATTCGGGGTCATGGGTCGATCGGTAGTGTCATTATTACGCAGTACGCAGTTGCTCGGCACGGGAGAGGGTGGGACAGGACGCCCTGGGTCTGTCCCACCCGCCGGTGATCCCAGTGCATTGCACTGAACGGCGGCCCACGTCGCACGCGATGATGCAGCTGGGCTGGACTTTTTGCCGTGTAGTGTTTGGGTACCGAATACGCTGCAGCAGATAGTCGGACCAGCTGCAGTGCTCGTCACAGCGCGCCGGGCGGCCGGCGTGGGTCTCTGTGTGATGGAGCTGTCCCAGGACCGTGCTCTCTGGCCAGCTCAACCCCAGCTCGCCGCGCGCTGACAGGGGTGGGCGGCTCAAGGCTGACGGCACGGCCGACCCGCCGGCCGTGGCGGCCTGGGCTAGGCGGCTCCATTGTGAGCCACTCGCGTTTTATGCTGGCTCACTGCGGCCCGGCGCGCTCCAAGGCACGAGAACTGCGCATCTCGCCGGGTCGTCGGCAGTGCGCAGTGGAACGCATCTCACTGCCAGTGCAGCGGCGCCGGCACGGCTCGGGTTATTTTGTATGGGCTCTGTGACAGGTCGGCTGACGACTGGGGCCGTTAGCGGCGTCTCGGCCCGTCGCTCCGCCGCTCTCCGGCTTAGTTCGACGGCCGCCGACAGTCGGTGTTGTTTCTGCGTCTCGGGTGGCGTCAGTGTCGCCCCGGTGGGCGCCGCTCGGGGCCATGTGTCCTGGTCACATACGCGCCGCTGACGACGCTCTGGGAAACGACAGGCGAGCGACGCGATCGTTAGGATCGGTGATCGATGGTGGTGGCGGCTCTGAGAACGTCAGCCGGCCGCGCCGGGCGATTGACAGACACTCCGAGTACCGTGAACTGCGCGTCAGTGGACGCTCAAACGGACACCGCCGCGGCCGGCCCGGTGCGTGGGAATGGGACTTGCTATAAACCTCGCCGGAATTGATTTGAACGGCTGGCGAAATTTGATGTTTCCGGCGCGGTGGGGCAGGTTATGTAACTGTCAGCTTCAGATCGGGCGCCTGGTGCCATCATGTCCAACGGCCACCCGCGGGGCGGTCTCTCTGTATAACATGTGGAATAATGTGCAGGCTGCATTGATGCACGTTACACAAGAGTTCGCAGAATCCCCTGCATCAAGGCCACACGTTTCCGGTGCATCACGGATGCGAATCGCAATGAGCATCGCGCGCCGGCTCGTTTCCCCGCTGCCGCGTGCATGGCGCCATTTCTCTGAAAGCAGCATTTTACCGTCACATTATCACAATTTGGCGACATTACACGCACGGGAATTTGTCGGCGCCCGGCGCCGTTCAGTCGCAGCACTACCATTGCGCGTCGCGCCGTGCGCGCTTTACTGGCGTGAAATGACCGCCGCTCGGCGACACGGTTACGCCGGGGACGTTCACCGGTCGCCCCAGTACCGGAGGCTTTATGCTGTCGTCGATGTCCGGGGTGCGGTGGCCATCCCGAGTTACGAGCTGCCCCGGAGCCGTGGCCGCAGGCAGGGTGACTGAGCGCGTCCCAGCACAGTAGCTGCCGGTCCGTTCGTGCCCGGTGGCCGTTGCCGACGCCGACGGTTGTTTTCGATGCCGCGTAAATGTCGGCCGCCTGAATCGTTCGAGTTACGTCGACGGTCTGTGAATTTAACGCCCCCAGAATGGCGTCGTAACTTGTTGTGGTGGTCAGGCGAGCGGCCGTGCGCCGGTAGAGAGCCAACAGGCTGGTCGGTGTCCGTGGCTGGGGGTCGCTATGGGGTCAGAAACCCCCTGTTTCTGACACTACCGACCTCGACATAAGCCGTGACGGCGCCGGTCGACAGCCGTGGCGCTGAACGGGTCGAGTCGTGTCGGAAACCATTAGAAAGCCGCCGTGTGTGTTCGGCGTGTCACCGTCGCCTCCGCTGACAGGACACTGATGGCTGCCCTCGGGCGCACAATGGGCCGATTGTGCTGCGACGCTCGGAGGAAGGGCACGGGAACACGCCAACAGGAGCTGCAAATGTCACCTACCGACCGAACACAGCTCATGACAGGAGCACCACGCACAAATGTCCGCGTGAACGATCACGAACAGTTTTTTTTTTCAACGTGGTGCAGTTGCTAAGCAGTGCTGGTAAATAAATCTGCTTTGAATCAAGACATCGTTTGCGCCAAGCGGTCCGCTGTCTCATTTGTAAGCCTCATTACCATGTTCCATCGATAGACCGGGTGGCCAGCATTAACCAGTTCCCATAATGGCCCATTAACATAAACATTATACGGCTGGGTGGCGGCGGCGCCGTCTGCTGCTGGTCGGAAGTGGTCCGATCGCCGGCAAGGTGGCCCGTCACACACAGCGGCAACTGGTATGGTCTGTTACAACGGCGCTGGCACGGTCTGTCATACGACGCTGCATTCTGTCACACCGCGGCTGGTCTGTCACATGACAGCGTGTCTCGGCCTGTCACATGGCGGAGACTGGTTCGTCACACAGCAGCGTACCGGCACTGTATCACCCGACGCCGTCGTACTCCCCGACCCGACTTACAGCTCGCCGCGGCCGAGGAGCCACGGCAGCTCCGCGGTCCGGGCTGCGGTCAGGGAGGCGGTGCCGTGAGTTGGCGTGACTATGTGGGAGAGCCACCCGACGCCCGTAGTGTAACACGCCGTGATGGGGTATTCCTATCGCGGCACCGACACTGGCCCGCAGCACGCGAGCTGGAGGGCGTCGTCCTCAGGGCGGGGCCAGGTCACCACGGAAGGCAGCTGACACCATCTCAGGTCATTCCAGTCACGCATTAGGCGTGTCAGCTGTGACCTGAATTGATAATTTCATTCAGAGCAAGTTATTTCATTTATGCGACTTCAGAGAAGACCTCATACTTTCACCCATTTCCAACTACGATTAGTCGGATCGGCACTAGCTATCTCGCTCAAATCCAGAAGAAAGGAATGTTTTAGGTTAGTACACCAAACTCCTCTAAAACATTCAAGCTTCACTGCTGTCGGTGTGAGGCGCGGCACGGCGTGGCGCAGTTCCCTGCAGCGAGCGGCTGGTGTGATGGAGCTCCGTGACTGATGGTGCGGGCTGTGGTGCGGTAGGTTGCGGCGGTGCCAACCGGTGCCTACCGCCAGGAGAGGTGCCTGTCGAGTCGGGAGACGCCCCGCCGACCGAGTGACTCCTGGTGTCAGCGCCTTGTACAGACCTGTCCGCGTGCAGGGCGATCAGTGCAGCTCATAATGGGTGTGCGGTTTGCGCGTGATCTCACCCTTCGCGGTACCGTCGAGGGTGGCCCTCTTCGTTCGCCGAAAGCGAGGCCCCTCAGCGATTGATTTGATCGCGTTCTGACGGTGTCTTTGAATCGTTTCGGGTCAAGTATTTGGAAACTGATTCTGAACTACAGCGCCGTGATGTTTGGCGAAGTGGGAGTCGGCGCGGGTCTCAGAGCCGCGGGCAGCCCTGAATCCTCTGAAACCGGCCTCGCCGCGAGATGGGCGGAGATATATGTCGGCAGCTCCGCCCGTCGGGAGTCCCAACTCGGATTTGCCGAGATCCGGCTGGTGCCGTGTGATGCGCCGCCGCTGTGCCGGCCGCGGGGCAGGCGGCGCCGGTTTGAGGTAGGCTCGAACTGAGTTAGCAGGAGCAGCACCTGCAGCTGACACTGCCGGTCATACCGCACCTGGCGGACGCACCGCCAGCCCGCGAGCAGCCGCCCGCAGATGGCTGACCGGGGACACCTTCCGGCGGCACGGCCAAATGTAGCCGATCAATCGACTAGACATGACACAGGCACGGCATGGACACAGCATCCCTCGAACACGGCACAGACCCAGTACGGCCATTCCTCGGTTTTGACTGGCACGGGCACGACACGGGTTCAGCACGGATACACGGCACGGCCACCCGTCAGTCCGCCGAGCACGGGACCTTCCGGCGAGGCGGCTACGGACACGGCATGGTTACTCATCCGCGCCAAGGATCGGGCACATGCAATACAGACACGAGCACCTTCCGGCGCACGGTCGCCAGCCTACGTCAGCGGGCCCAGTCGTCACCCATCCGGACAGTGGCAAGGACACGGCACAGCGGCAGCGTCCACTGGGTACGGCGAACTCGGGGACAGCGGACACTTTGTGGAAGTTGTCCCTGGCCGTGTATGCGTGCCGACCGCCGGTGATGTTCGATGTCGATTGTTCCAGCCGACCGAGCACAGCCCGCTCCGGAGCTGCAGCCCGGCTGGCGTGCAACACGCCATCGAAGTCGCCGTAATTGCAAACAGGTGTAGTGCAGATCGGGCGCCCAGTTTTGTGCCGATAAACTGGAATGAACTGGTTGATTCATGAATTGTCACTAAAACATTTCTTGTGTACTGCAGGTCATGTCTGTTTTAAAACGCGCTGTTCGGCTGCAAGGTGCAACAGCCCAGTTGCAGCTGATAATAAACCGTGATTCAAGCTATACACACGAACAGACGCATTCGTTTCCAACATTGACTGTTAGCCGTGCTTTGTGTTTCTCGCTAAGATTTGAGCGATTCGGCCTTTCCGAAATTGATCCAATCTTTGTAATGAAGTCATGTGCCAACGACAAGCTCTCTGAAGGCAAATCTTATCCGGTAACGTTAAATGGGCTTGAAAACCCTATGTTATTTACTTTTCAACTACCTATTACCGGCCAGAAAACGCACGTCGCACAACGTGTGCTACAATTTGCCTGCATGAGATACCTGCGCTGCACCTGTTATGCTAGGCCATGACCACTGATCAAATATATGATTCGGCAATTATACGAATTCTGATGCGGAGTTTCAATGTCCGTCGATCGCATCTCATCAGTGCTGACCTTGCGTAACTGGTTCGACAGTTTCCATGGTCGGTGCACTCCAGACAGTTCTCTGATCAGCTCCGCTGACCGCCTCCACTGGCCGTCCGGCGTCCTCAGTCCTCTGAGCGTCTTCTGATCGACGTTGACCGTCCTCTGACCGCCATCTGATCGATGCTGACCTCCCTCTCCCTTGCCCGACAGATCTGGATGCGCCGGACACGTGCGACACCAAGGTGAAGAGCCGCCGGCCGAGCACCGGTCTCGTGGCGCACGTCTCCCGTCCTGTGCCGCTGCTCGGCTGCTACCACGGTCACCTGGCCGGACTCGGACACAGGTCAGTCAGTCTCTGTCGAGAGAGTAGCATGAGGAAGATCGGAGATAGCGCGCCTTGAGAGGGAGTTATATCATTAAGTACCGCTCCCCGCTCCCTTCAGCGATCGGCAGCCTGGATCTTATCGCGGTCGCTCTCTCAGGAGATCACACACTGTCCGGAGGAGTAGTACCACGAATTGTCGCCCCCTTCAGTGATCGGTGGCATGGATCTTCATCGGCCGCTCCCTGAGGAGGCTGCAAACTGTCACCCCAGCTCGGCTCCTGGTACTGTGACGGCATGACGTCCCCCGGGACAGGGTGTTCTTGGACACGGATTACTCTGAACTCCGCTGGCCGGCGGCCCACCTCGAGCTGACATCAGAGAGCCTGAGATAGCTCCGGCTGCTTCACACAGCTCATCACTGACTCAGGCCCGCAGCTGGCCATCACAGTGCCGGATATAGTTGTAACTGCGCCCCCGAAATACACGGGCGCCTCGCATGGTCGGAAATAGTTGACCTTTGCCAAGGGCGCGACAGTCTGAGCCAGCGGCCGGTGACAGCGGCCTGTTCTGCAACTGTGCAGGGAGACAGGGGGCGGCAGATCGGTATCACCGAAGGCGCTGTGCCAGAGGTAGTCGCCTTGGTATGAAGCGTCTCCTTGGCGCCGCTTTGCAGGCATAGCTGCTGGCCAGCAGTGTGACACATCTACCGCGTCGCTGGACCGTATAGACCTTTTCAACAAAGCACGATATTATTTCAGCTTCTGACATTAATGAAATATTGCTTCAGTAAATAATTTATCGCTATTAGATAAATTAACGATCCTAAGAGGATGCGCGATCAACTCCTGTCTCCGAACGCAACTTAATCCCGTCCATCACTGTTAAAAACAATCGTCAGCTTAAAGCTTACGTTAAGTATATGGTATAATTTAGCCTATCGACATTACCTATTATATCGTGGAGACGGAGAGCAATGCTTCATGAAGCACTTATTTACAATCAACACTGTAGCCAAGCTTTGTATTATCCTTCCGCAAAAATGAGTAAAGAAGAGCGTATGCAGTCAATGAACACTGTGTCTGTCCCATTCTGATCGCTAGCCTCCGGATACCGAAAGTCGAGCGAAGTGGGTTTATACGAAAAAACACGAATTTATCGAAACCACGTATCCGTACGGTACTTCTCACGCTTGAATTGTCATTCTCAGCTGCCGGACCGTAGATGGTCTATGGTCCGGCAACTGATGTATGGGCACTGGACACCTGAGTGAACCGGCCACTGCAGTGCATGGGACCAGCCTTCCCGCACCGTCGCCCCACTCTAGCTCCTGTATCGATTTGAGGCGGAGCGCACTGCCTCTCGCCCTCCTGCGCTGATCCGCGGCGGATCGAGAGGCTGCGTGGCGCAGCGCAGCGCCTGGACGAACTGCGTATCCGGGCACCGCTCGATGCCAGAGGTCGCTGCTGCGGGGTATATCGGGAACCGGAGACCACCGCTCTGCGTCCGGCCGCCATCCAAACAACGTCAGGGAGGATGGCATGGAGGATCCTCGCAGGATTGTGCTCGAAACGCCGAGGCTTAGTAGCGATGCACGACCGAGTGATCACGTCAAATGACCTGGCTGTAGACGGCATGTCGAGGTCGAAATACCGACCCATCGGATTCAAATACCGAAAGCCGGACCAGACACGATAATCCGTGTGGAATGATTTACTCATGCCCGTTTGAATGAATCCCATGGACACGAGCATTAAGCAATATGATGCATGCGAGGTGACTAAAAAATGACCGACGTTAGTTGCATGGTGGCGTAATATCTTTTAATGAACGCTTACGGAATGCGAATCAGAGACATAACAAGACAAGCCTCGCTATATAATATACGTATAAATAACCGCTAATCCGTCGTGACTGATGCATCATTATATAGGTTATAATCCTGCTATCAGCAATTTATTAATTCATTTATATGTGGTTCATTACTATAGATAAACGAGTTTATTTGATAAATTCATTTACCTCATTAGACGGAAAAATATCGATCCATTAACAATGTTCTGACACCATTATCTTGAAAGCAGTATCACGAGATGACTGTGAATTGATACTCCGCTCTGAACGGGTGACTGACTGCTGACTGCTGTTACCCCGCTCTGACTGTTGACTGCTGTTACCCCGTTCTGACTGCTGACTGCTGTTACCCCGCTCTGACTGTTGAATGCTGTTACCCCGCTCTGACTGCTGTTACCCCGCTCTGACTGCTGACTGCTGTTACCCCGCTCTGACTGCTGTTACCCCGCTCTGACGGCTGACTGCTGTTACCCCGCTCTGACTGCTGTTACCCCGCTCTGACTGCTGACTGCTGTTACCCCGCTCTGACTGTTGTTACCCTGTTCCGACTGCTGACTGCTGTTACCCCGCTCTGCCTGCTGTTACCCCGCTCTGCCTGCTGTTACCCCGCTCTGACTGCTGTTATCCCGCACTGCCTGCTGACTGCTGTTACCCCGCTCTGACTGCTGTTATCCCGCACTGCCTGCTGACTGCTGTTACCCCGCTCTGACTGCTGACCACTGTTACCCCGCTCTGGCTGCTGACTGCTGTTACCCCGCTCTGGCTACTGTCTGCTGTTACCCTGTTCTGACTGCTAACTGTTGTTACTCCGCTCTGCCTGTCGGCGGTGCGCGCCGCGGCCAATCGACCGTGTGTCGCTCGGACCGAGGGCCGTGCTCCCAGTTCAAGGTCCGCGGGCGGCCAGCTCGAACTGACCGCGAGCGGAGAGGCCCGGTGCGGGTGGACGCGGACGCAGTGGAGCGAGCAGCAGCGGGCCCCATCGGCAGCGACCGGGCAGCGAGCACCGAGCTCGACAGATGTCAGGAGAGCCTGTCAGGAGAGCTAGCCTGGTCCTGACCCGCGGATAAACCCATGAGTTAATCCGCGCAATGACGAGCATATCCCAAGGAGATCCAACCAGAGACAGTCGGCTCTGAAATTACCGATTCTAGAGCACAAACAGATCTGACCTGACCGCGGATCTCACCAGACTCAACACAGCTGGTCACCAGCACAAGAATGACGCAGCGTTATGACGTCACCGTTGTTGGCAAAGAAAGACTACTACGGAATTGTGTGTGGAAAAAGACCCCAGCAAAAACGCTTTGTGTGTGCCGTTTTTGCGAAGGTTTTTTTACGACCAGGAACAGCTGATTCCTGTGTTCCTGTTGGATCGATCGCGGGCAGAGGCGGCGTGGGGCGCGCTAGGTTCTTGGATGACGGGTAGTTGCGCCATGATTGAGGCTTCCCATGTATGCGAAATATTGATGCAGGTTTCTTCGAACGGCATGATCGGGTGTTGGTGAAGTGTTGCACTGTCTGAACAATCTTATGGCCGCATACACCAGACGATACATATATCAGAGGAACAGTTGTGCCCGACTCGAAGGATCTCCTCCTCTGCTCTCGTGCTCTGTCTCTCCCCGCTCTCGCCACGCTCGGCTGACTCCCCTCCCGGTCGGCCTCCCTCCCAGAGACGGCCGAGGTGCCGGCGATGACACCGCCCGCACCGTTTTATGTCGGTGACGACGGGCGTCGAGCGGCGATAATCCGTCCGGTTATTTATCGCCTCGTTACGGCCATTGTGCTAAGTGCTAAACGGAGGCCAATTATTCGGGCGCCTGGCTGTGCCCGGGCGGTGACGGTTGGAGCTCGTTGCAGTGTTTACAGTCTCCCAGTACGGTGCTGATGCGAGCCGTAAAGGGCACCATGTCGGCCGAACGGGTTCGGGCCGGGGCTGCGGCTCGCGGCGCCCCCAGCTGCCGTCTAGCTCTGTCTCCGTGTGTGTTTGTTCGAGCTGCAGGCTGCTGGCAGCACCCCATAGCAACGGGCGCTGATTCAGCGGTCATCGGTCAGGCAGCGGAGGCCCGCCCGAACCGGGGCGCCTTTTGCGTCACGCTGCGCCGCTCACGGCCGCCCGGCTCGCCGCGCCGGGCCCAACAAATGGCCCGGCGCCGGGGACAGGACGGGTGCCGGGCGGTGCTCGCAGCACCCTGGGTGTCCCCTGGCTCGGACCGAGGGTGACTCACTCTCTGATCTAACCGTGTCACCACGCAGAGCGCGAGCCGGCGCTGGGCAGTGGCCAGTTTGTGGCCAAAATATGCACAACATGTGCCAGTCTTTTCAAGGGCCATGCATGACCAATTTCAGGGGAAAAAGGTCAAGATGTGGCTGTTATGGCAATGACCATAAAACGTCGAAAATAGAACTTGTTTTAGTCGAGGCTGCATTGGTCATTGCAGAACCGTTCAAAATTTGTGTTCAGTCATTTTAAAGCCTTCACCAAATTGTGTTGGTAATGCAAAGCTGTTGCCACATACTACTCTCATGTTCTCGTTCATTTTAGGGATGTTACCAAGCTGTTGCTGGCTGCCGGAAGCTGTTGCTAGGCCGCGGCGGCGGCTGTCACCCCGGCGTGCCGAGCTGACGCAGCTCCTCCCTCGGCCTCCCTCTGAAGCCGCCGCCCCCGGCCTCCGGGCTATGTTTAGCCGGCCGTGTCACGAACACGCGTCTGTAATCACTGAGCCTGTCGTGACCTGGCGGTGACCTGCCGACCTCTGCAGGCTGCATCCAGCCGTATCACACCCCATATCCAGCCCGCCCACGCCCAGTCACCCGGGTCCGGGGGTAACAAAGGAGGAGGTGGCTTAGCAACACTTGTGATGCATTGCTCCCAGCGAATTGTCTGGGGAATTTCGTTGAGCCGCCCTGCCGTCATTAATTTCCAGTGGTGAATTTAGGTCAGTTGTAGCGAGATCAGTTCGTGTCTTCACCTGCAGGTTTGGTTGGAAGGTGTCGGGGAGGGCTGGAGCTCCGCGGGCTGTCCACGGGGGTTTCGGCGGGCGACTCTCTGATCCCCGGTCTGTTTGGGAGTCCCTGACACGGTGTTTAACTCGCACAGTGAACACCTGGATCCTGTTATGCTTAGCTCACACCGGGGTAGCCATCTTCACAGGATTTCTTTGAAGTATGTGTCACTGCCTGATATCTGTCCCCATGGGATCTAAATTTGGGGACGCGCAACGATGGGGCAAGGGAAGCCAAGATCATCTTCGGTCACGTAAATGGTTTCAACTGGTCAGAACGGAGCCAATCATGAACAATGAGCATTGAGCATGGCCCAACCGAAGCATTTTTCATTGATGCGAATGCGCATCACTGTAATCATCTGGAGAGTGGAGATGTCCCACGTCCGATACATGTCTGGGGATGTATAACGTCCAATGCCGAGTTTGCCGGTATGACCGGGGTACGACTCGTCTCGAGGCCGTGGTACGGTGACGGTTTGTTTGTGGAGGTGGCCGGATCTGCCCACCAGAGCCCCGGACAGGAAGGGTGGCCTCACACCGGCCTGGCCTCAACTGGACGCGCCAGTCTACAAATAACACTGGGTCTGCACCAAGGCTAGCGGGCGTGTGTAGCGGCCCGGACGATCCTATAAACTACCGCCAGCGGCCGCACCAAGGCTGTGCGATGATACCGTTCGTCAGATACGGCCGGCACCACGTATCTCTGCTGGCTAGATAATATTTAATCGTCAACTGCAAATTCATGCATACAAATCTGAGCGCCAGCCACAGCGGTGAGCGCCATGGCTGAGCGGACTTCGTTGGGTATGCATCAGGAGCCGTGGGAGGCATTAGCAGGGTCCCCGGCGCACCGAACCAGCGGGGCGAGCTCTTTGTGCGCGCGAGGATGTGACGCACACACATGCATACCGTATGGCAGCGAGCTTATACCACCAGCGGCCCACGTCGTTTCTATTTATAGCCCGACCTTTGCAGATACCATTTTAGTATGCGCGGGATTCTCAGTATCAATTTTGCGCATTGAAGTCAGGTGGCCCACGCAGGGGTAATCTGACGCTGCGTAGTCAGCCCGCGCGGCTGCCGTGGGTACCGATGGGGGCGATACGTCCGGCTGTCGCGGGCGCCGTTACGTTGGACTGCCGTGGGGGCCGCTGCATTCTATTTCCATGGGTGTCGGACTCGGTACAATGGACTGCCAGTGCACCGCGACCGCTCATGCCATGGGGTGCCGGTTAATCAGGCTGCCACTGCATCGCTCATGAAATTGACACGGCCTGGCGGTAATTAACCGGACGCTGATGAGTCACGAACTTTGTGTGAGTTGTATTGACGATGACGTCACCGACAGCTGCTAACGCTCACCCTCTCACTCCCCCCTCCCTCCCCTGCCTTCGGACCAGGTGCCGGTGTCACGCCTGCACAGTAATGCAAAAGGCACACGGTACGACAATGCACGTCTCTTCACGCGGGCAAAAGAGCTGTTGCGTATTAGGCATGATGAGATGCCAGCTTATTGTTCAAGTTTACGTTCAAAACTTTCATTGCAATGAAATTGCTTTACTACTGAAAGATAAACACGCGTTAATGTTCGAATGACATCTAGGGCTACATCTTTGAATGCCTGGCGTATAGAAAAGTGACGGTTGAATGAAATTATAAACGGGACGTTTATCGTACAATATGGAAAGAGCACCTAATTCAAATAGAATGTACCTTAAAATGCGTCCATGTTATCGGACTATGTGTATAAAACTGACGTGTATTGCGTTGTGCATGGATCCTGGAGCAGCGGGAGTGTTTATTTTTCCGGCCGACCGATCGCTGACATTAAGCTGTTTGCGGCACCGGCCACGCCAGAATGCATATTAGTGTGGACGTTATCGATGGGCTCGCGTTTGTCGCGGCGCGTCCGCCGGCCGGCTCTGTGGTCATTCATAGCGTGCCGGCCGACCGTGGCGGGACGTTTCTAATTGAATGGGGAATGCCCTGTCAGGTCGACACGCGACACCAACAGGCGAGCCGGGCCGCTTTTACGGCGCCCCTGACGTGCGCTGGCCGACATACGCTGCTGCGCAAATGTCGCAGCTGCGGCACGCGTCTGCCGCGCCGGTTTCGTCACTGTTGACAGAGAGACGCAGAATCAAGGCTACAGAGCTCCGGCGCAGAAAAGACTGGCCAAATTTATTTGACTGGCGCGGGATCGGACCGACAGACGCGCATGCATTTTGGCTAATGCTGATCAAAACTCCGCGATGCCGTCTTCTGTCTCTGTCTCCGTCTGATAGGCTTTTTCGTCATCTGACCGAGCTGATGAGCGACGATCCCCTTGATGCTCGTGTGTCTGATAGTTGCAGGAATGTCTATGTTAGATTTAACCCTACGCCAATATTTTAACTGATATCGTTGTGTACTCGTATGTGGCGGACTAACATAGTTCTTTCCTTCCATTCAGCGATGCCTATACACGATGATCTAACGTGGTTCTCTCCTTCCATTTCAGGGACGTCTATGTCGTAGAAGTAACCACCGAGAGTCAGAGCTTCTGGAACAGCCGCGTGACGGTCAACCTGCTGCCGATGCCGGACAGGTAGGTCCCTCTCAGTCTGACACAGACTTGAAACATCCGTGAACCGCTGGACTGAACCTCGCGGTACCGCGCATCCCGCTGGGACGCTGTCAGCGGGACGTCAGAGAGATGAAGAAATGGCGACACGGCAGGAGCGTGGGCTGGGACCGGCCGGCTAGGTTAAGGAGGCAGCGATTATGCCCGTCATGTTTGTGGTCGCCACCGCCGAGCGTTGCACCGGCCTGTGGTCGACCAGCTGTGGTCGTGCCGCCGTGTTTGTGGTCGTATTCGCGATATGTCCCTAATCTCTTTTTCTCAAGAGGTGATGAATATTGATTGCAGATTGTTACGGTGCACCATTGGAATGTCAATCCATTATTATGTTATATTTAGACCTTTGTTTAGTGGTTCTTCTGGGTACTTGTTACGTCCCAATGCCTTCTTTCTCGGTCCGACCTCCCCAGAGCTCCGTCTACTTAGTCCCCTCCCCGCCTCTTCAGCAGAGGAGCTCTATTCTCCAGTCCTGGTGGCTTTGTGAACTTCACCGTTGAGTGTTTTAACTGGTCCAGTCCGGGAGCATCAGCTGGCCCACCCAGCTAATGGGATTATGTCTGTGTGGCTCCGGTATATATCGGCGACCGCGACAGTTGGAGGTCTTCTCTGACCTGTCACCGGTCAGCGGGGCCGCTATTGACCCTGACAACATGACCTTTCGCTTTCTGGACAGTCCCAATGCAATGCATTCATGGAATCCTAACAAAACAACAGACGGTCCCTGCTGTCCCCCCCCCCCCCGACATCACTGAACTCTCTTTGTACCTCTTTTGATTCGCATCGCTCATCAACTGACAAATCCCTTTTCTGTTTCAGAAAATCGACCGCCGGCAATTTAACCTTGGTAAGTGGCTCTCTGCGTGCGGTTTCTATTTTATCGCTGCGGTGACCGCTGTCAGAGATAGAGGCGACGAACTGCGTCGTTCTGTCGGGTCGGGTCGTCTCGCCACTCGGACATATTGCGTGTCGGTTTGGGTGGGTGGATGGGCGGCGCGGTCCGATCAGCTCCGGGGCCGCCCAATCAGTCATTGCAGACATATCTGGTCTGACCGGGTCGTAAACGGCTGCACTGGAGACTGCGGAGCGACGCTCTGCAGCGCGCAGGTGCTGCCGGGATAGGCGAATCTGCCACACGTTTGGTTTGTTGAGCGTTGCTAGAAAGAGATAAAGTGTACTTAACTACTTATATCTTTCGTATTGTATCACAGTCGGTAACAACGCTTTATCGCTGTCCTTTGATCACAAGGTCTGTGGTCGCGCACCAAAGTGACGAGTGCTTTGGGGTATCCCACCAGATTCCCGTCAAATGTGATTTGTTACGGTTAAATGTGTTTGTTTTCAGATTTTGAAGTCGGCCGTGCCGGTGACCTGGGAGCTGGCTTCGGATGGCTTCTCCGGGGATCTGCTCGTTCTGGTGAGTACTGTGACGTCAGACATGCCCTTTGATACGGAAACCCCCGTTCGGCGTCCTGCAACAGAGCGTCTCTCGGCCTTTTTCAGACGGTTCCAGCGATTTGCCCGGCTCAGGCTCGGTTCACAGGGCTCGGTGTCAGATCGGATGGGCGGTGGCGACAGTTGGATACGGGTGGTCGGGCGCTGCTGCCAACCAAACGCGGTCAATCAGCGGGGGCCGCAGGCGGGAGGGCCATCCCCTGCAACCTCGGCACAACAGACGTAGCGATCGCCGCTGAAATCAATGAAAATGACTGCAACATGTCTGGGGATTTTTGCTGAACTCCAGTCCTCATGGATGAAATTTTAGGCGTTCCGATTCGATAATTAGCAACTGTAATGTAAACTTAATTAAATATTAATTTCAACAGCACTGATTCCTTATTAAAACATGAGATATTCGATTGTCGCCATTTTGATTTTACATTACAAGTCTGACCGCTCATTCCGTCTCAGTCTGGCTGATGGCCATCGGCCGTTCGCCTGGCTGTTAGGCTGACCCGCCGGGCTCGACTGCGCTGCGGAGCCCGGCTCGCTCATTGTCATGGATCGGGCGCAGGCGCGGCCTCCCGCGCTGCCCGGCTCGGCCCGCCGATCAGTGCACGGTTTCGCGGCCGGCACCAGGAATGCGCCGTCGAACGCTGACATGCATTCCGATACGCTGAAGTCAGCGCCGTTATGTGATGGCGGCCGGTCGGCAGCCGGTTCTCGGCTACATAAACGGTACAGAAGGCTGCGGCAGAGATCAGCGGCCGACCGCCGCGCCGCCGAGCCGGAGTATTGACGGCTTGAGTGAGAGCTGCTGTATATCGTTGCTGGAGCTCGTGCTGTCAGTGGAGAATATGGCTCATTGGCAGAAAGTCGTCGAGCAATTTTACTGTCTCTTGTAGCTGGGAAGCGGGGAGGGGGGATGGGCGGGAGGCCATGCGAAGACAGGCCATCCCAGAATGAATGACAGGCAGCGGCTGCTCGGTAGCTCGGCCGGCGCTCGGCGCTACCGCAAAGCCTTGACTCTGGATAATGTTTGAAAATGTACTGAAAGCTGCTCCGCTAAATCAAACAAGTATGTATTGAGTATTGCTATAATGTTTCAAATTAGCAGCCAACTCGTTAGTTATCTGAAGAAACTCAGCCCGGCCTTTGAGTCGGCGGAGCGCTGACTTGCGCTCTCGCCGCCCGCGGTGATCGTCCAACCTCAGCTCACAGTTGGCAGGAGAGTTGCGGGTTCGCGGTCGCCTCGCCCTTTGCAGCGTTGATTTCTGCCAGCTGGCGCCTGCAGAGCGGCGTCGGAGCAGGTTGAACAGCTCAGTCATCGGGTCACTGCAGGGAGGCATTCAGAGCAGTGATCTGCGCGTCAAATGGCAGTGCCCGCCGGCTGCTCGCTCTGGAGAGAGCAACCCTGGCTCAGCCCGGTAGAGGAGGGAGGGAGGAGGCGCCCGCGGCGGCTGCATACCTCTGCACCATTGCTACCGAGCGATTGGTGCCAACGGAGCGGCGGAAAATTTACTCCGCGAATATTAGGGAAGTCCGCGTGGACCATGGAACTCACAACTCGCCGTGCGCTGGAGTGTCCGCATTGGCCGTCCCGCAGCGGACTCCGCCCCGGTGCGGTCAGGCGGAGTCCGTTCCGCCGGTGAGTTTCGCGAGCCCATTTCTCCGCTGGCCAGCCCGGCCGGTGCAGTGGGAGCACCGGTCGCCGCCGGGGCCACGGTGACGCTGCACTGAGCGCGCCGCACCGGCAATTAAGGCCACCCGCAATCGTGTTTGGTGCCTCTGCAGAGCGCCTGGTGAGCTGTGAGGTCGCGCCGGCCTCGCGCGCAGTGTTTATTTATCCGCCTAGTAACGGGATGAACACCAGATTGGGGGACGTGTATGACAGTGCAGCTCCAGATGCACACACAGATGATGAATTCATGGCGCTCTGACAATGCACGGTCGGTTTTATGGCGTGCTCAGATGGCGGCGGTCCGGCGGACGGCGCTGCTCTGTATACGGCCGTGGTCGCCACCCGTGTAGCACTGTAGATGGCCGATTGTGTCTGCAGAGGGGTCGGTAGGTGAGGCGACCGGTGATGTAGGTCCGACTCTGCGAGAACCTCACCGGTCCACACCGGCTCATCAGACCGCACTGGACCGTGCCGGCTTGGACCACTACGGGCCGAGCCTGTTCATTTGACCACATTAGACCAGAATGGCTCATGGACTGTGGCTGGCAACACCGGAGATGGTGCTTAGTTCACGGCCTGTGGACTGTGGAGTCGAATCCATGGGAAGCGGGATCCGAGTCACAGACCGCTTCTGACCGCCGTCCGGGCGCTCAGACTCAGCTGATGGGGCGTGTGTGGCGTGCTATCCCACACGGCACGGGCCGATTTGTATCTGCCATACCCCGTGCACCCGCGGGAACCCGGCTGACCAGCTCGGTCTAGCCCCGGCCGCGGACCATACGTCCCCGCATGACTCGGGTGTTCTTTTCACTCTGGGCTTCTATAAATCAACAGTTACGGACCCAATTCATGTTTGTGATTGCAGTGCAGGATGAATGTCAGGAGCATTGCTGGAACTGCGGAAAGCTCTGCTACATTCATGCACAAACCTAAGCAATGAGTTGGGTGTCATGGGCCAATTGATTCATTTGACTGTGTGCTTTCTACCCCATTTGTATCAATGGGCGCTCACAGCGCTTACCTAGTGAAAGGCAAATCCAGTAACATTCATATATCTATGTTCTGATGCTCATGATCACTAATTTGTTGTCACTTGACACATTGGGTTGTGACACTTCAATTGCTTAGCTATAAAAATCGGTTCTGCATTGTGGCCCGACCGTCACCCGTTGCCTTGTGGCATCAGTGGTGTGCTATCCCTTCCACTCCATCGCTGACGCCGCTCTCTCTCTCTCTCTCTCTCTCTCTCTCTCTCTCTCTCTCTCTCTCTCTCTCTCTCTCTCTCTCTCTCTCTCTCTCTCTCCGTGCCGGGTCACGCAGCGGTCTCCAGCTGGGTCGGCGCGGCTCTCAGTGATCTCTCATTAGCGGCGCGGTGATAGGAATTAGTTTGTATTCGTATGGGACGACCGGCGGCCGATCGCCGGCATGCATGGACTGCCGTCTATGCCGTTATATAACGCTGCAGTTTGACGTGGGCAGCGTTCAAGGCCGCTGGGAGGAGGGCTGACAACAGATGCCGTATGATCTCCAGACAGACCTCTGCGATAGGAGAGACAGGAGGTCCTGCAGTGGTCGTTTTATACTAATTGGCCGGTGACCATTACGCAATGGCCAGGGTGCCCTGTCAAAGTTGCTCAGTATTGATGCGTGCCTGGCATTATGTCTGAACCCGTCACTGACATGGTTCCACTCTTTTTTTAGCTTCATTCATGTCCGAGAAGCCTTTCCTTTTTTATTTAGATAGACACTGTGCAGCCATCACAAATAACGAAATGAAAAGCACCCGTTTAGTGAGCCATAAACGTAAAACGTTGACCGTGACAAGATTGAACGAAAGGGGAACTTGAAAAGAGATAAACTTTAATATTAAAACTAAGAAATGGATGCACTGTTTGGCAACACAGCAATGATCATGGCATAGCGGCTTCATAAAGCGAAAAGGGCCATCAAGTTTTAGTGGAAGACACTCAAAGCACCGAGGAAATAAAGCATAAAACCCTAGAACTACAATCATAATAGAAATAAATTATTCAACCAAACACGCTCGCTGCGTAAACTGACCCACACATCTCTCGCTGCATGAGCCTCACTACCTCTCCAAGTCGGCTATGTGCGCGTTACCTGCAGAGGCCACGGCAGCAGCGGCGCTGGGCGCTGGCTCTGATGAGGTTCCTGCAGCGGACCCCGCCCCTCTGTGAGCGGCTCATCAGGACCCGCGGCACACACGGACTGGTGCGGAGCCTGCCGAGCTGGCCAGGTGTCCAGTCGGAGCCGGACGTGCCGCCGATCGGCAATCAGCGGTCACGGTCAGCGGTGACAGGTCAGAAGTGACCGATCAACGTTCAATTACGGTCAGTCAGCAGGTAGTTACGACCGACTATGCAATCAGTCAGCGCGGGCCGGTCAGCGATCAGTGACGACCGATCAGTGGTCAGAAGTCAGCGGCCATTAACGACTGGTCAGCTGTCAGTGGTTATCGATCAGCGCCGATCTGTCAGCCGTCAGCGGTCAACGGTGACCTGTCAGCGGGGCTAGTACGCGGCTCACCGCTGACTGCTGAGAGCTCGTCGGCAGTCAGCGGCGCCGGTCGGAGAATGGCGCCGCCTGGAGATGGCGCATGCCTTCGTCTTACGGTGCCGGAATGTTCAAGGTCAATTTATGGACGTGTATGCAAATGGGCGGCCGGGCCGTTGACCCGTGCTGGCCGGCGGCTGGGCCGGGCCGTGCAGCGCTGCCGTGGCCGCGGGCGGCGGACGTACTCGGGCCGCTGATACAGCCCGATCGGACCGGCGCGGCGGGGGCGGGGGCGGGCCGCGCCCGCAGTGTTCCCGGTACCGGCGGCGCAGACCGAGTTCACTGTTCAATTACCGCACCGGATGTGGCGCCGCCGCCGCGCCGGAGAAGCTCCGGCTGGAAGCCCTCAGCCCGCGTCCTGCTGCTGGGACACGTCTTCGAACGGCGCTTCCCGTATCACCGCTTCGGCGAATTTGGCGGCGCCCGTTTGGACGTTGCGTCATACAATTCATGAGGGCAAGAGCGTCCCATTTGTAGTCACCCCGCCGCACGGGGTGCACTTCCTTACCACTGGTGCTTTTAGCCTTTTCATGAATGCGTAATCTCGCCGCGATTGAGTGCCGCTTCTGTGAAATTATGTTTGCGAATTGACCCGTCTCCCGCGGTGGTCGGACGGGCGGACGGCATTTTTGGCGTGTCTGCGACGAGCCGACCGCGCCACGGTCGCCATATTTGTCTCGCGTGGCGGCGTGTCGCGCCCGACACGGCGGTGGTGACGGCGTGGCCGGGCCGTTCCGTCCGTGTCGCCGCCGTTGTGTGGCCCTGTCGATCGCACGGTCGTGCCGCCGCCACAGCACTGCTAATGGTCCAGCCACCTGGCTGTCGGGGGGCTGCAGCCGCCGGCAGGAATACCTACCGCCGACCAGACAGGGGGGGGGGGGGAGCAGGTCCTCAATTGGATCCAACTCGACCAACTCGGCTCGGTATTAGCCAATTTACACCGACCAACGGCGTGATTGGGAGATTTATGACAAATGCCGGTTATCAGCAATGCCATCATTTTATTATCACTCCTGGGCTGTGAGTACCGAGTATTGAGCAATCACTTCCTTCTTGCCAGAGTGAAACTAGTTGGCAACAAGATCTCCAAAAATATGACAGATTTATCTTCAGCGTTTGAAACATGACACGATTCCCGGATCAATGCATCGCACACTTATGACCAATCACGTAGCCATGAGCTTTCCCAGAATTGTAACAGAGGTAATAACGTTTACCTGAGTTGTTACTCTCGCGACTCGCTCGGTGCACTGCCTGTTGACCCTCACCCATGACCTGTGACCCTGATCGTGACATGCACCGGTGGACCCATAGACCGTGTACCATGACCTTCGCTTTCATTTCCGACTAGTGACCTGTGATCCTCACCTGTGCCCTGAAACCCGACTATGACCTCTGACCCTCACCGCTGACCCGTATCCCTTACTCTTTATCTTGGCTGGGTCATCTGACCTCTCGCTGACCTGTGACCCTCCTGCTGACCTCCGTACCTGCCGCTGACCTATTTCCGTCACTCCTAACTATTGACCTTTGTCCCTCCCGCTGACATGTGTCCCTCACTCTTGACGGTTGACCTCTAACCCTCCCGCTGACCTGTGTCCCTCACTCCTGACCGTTAACCTCTGACCTCCCTCTGACCTCTCATGTGACCTCTGGCAGACGGAGCGGCCGGTGAAGGAGACGCGACTCGGCTCCGATGTCGCCGTGGATACCCGCTTCACCCGTCTGCCGGGCTCGTTCACTGCGCTAATGCTGTTCGCCGTGAAATACTCGCACGGACCACCCGTGGCCTATGTCCGGGCCGCCGCCTTCAACGAGCTGGACATCCGACTGAACGGCGGCGCAGGTCAGTGCCGGGGCAGGTCATTGAAGGTCGCAGGGCTGAACGGACTGGCTGAGCGACAGGTCAGGTCACTGAAGGTCACAGGAATGAGAGGATTGGCTGAGAGGCAGGTCAGATCACCAGAGCCACATGGGCTTGGTTGATCGCCGCGGTCGATGATCAACTCTGGCTCGCAGCAATAGCAAACTCACAGTGACACACAAGTTTATCTCCGTGGTCGGATTAGGTAACCCTTTAGCCATGAGTAATTTCAACTCGTCACATATCTGGCTGAATTTGGACCGAAATAGCATCGTCCATCTGCGTCGTGTCATTTCATCTAGTTTAGTGCCGGCCCTGTCGGTGATACCGAACCACCACTCTGGGCGAGATGCCACTTTGCTCAGTTACTCCGAGCCCGGCGCGGCTGGTTTCGGCCGAGTGACCCGGGCGACCCAGAGAGTGCCGCCAAGGCGATCGGGTGCTCTGCAGAAAATCACCGAAACGCTCTATCGCTGGGTGATGTGATAACAACACTGCCGTAGTGGTATGCCAAGGCAGAACGGTGATGATGTGAGGTTGCAGGAAAACGGTGATTTGGGGATGAGTGGTGCATGTATGTTTGTGCTGCTTGGAGTATTCCAAGTCAGGCGGAACGATAACGCGATAGGTATGAAGTTTGTGGGCGGTTCTTGGAGGGTGTCTGGTGGATGGTTTCTCTCACCGGGCTTAGACCGGATCAGTGGAAATCACTGCAGCCGTGCTAACTGGACTGCAATGACGGTGCATGGTAACATTGCTGTTAGTGCAGGCTAGGGTTGTTCAAAAAAACCGAATTTTGGAAAAGTATACGGGCTCATGACTCGTGTGGTGAGGTATTCTTTTCTGAGTCCAACGATGTCCTTTTTTCCGAAAAATATTAACTGCTTCATGCTCCCCAAACGGCTTGAAGAGGAGGATGTTACGCCCGGCGACCGGCCGGTGTCAATAAGGGCGAGAATTCGGTGCCGCGCGCCGGCGGAGGCGCCTTATCGGCACCGCGCGCCACGACATCTACCGGGCGGCCGGCCGACCGGTGTAAGGGAATGAATGAGTGGTCTTCTTTCACATGATAGGGGTGCGCTAGCCCATATTGTCGGAGTGGAAAGTTTCAGTGCAGCATCGGTACCTCTGCCGCAGTGTTCTGTGTCGATGCCCGATGGTTCAGAAAAAAGCCAAGCAGAACTAAGAAAAGACTCAATGCTTCTGGCTAGTTCACTATAAACATCTCGTTTCGAGAATACAGCGCGGCGTTTCACGGCCGCTGCTACCAAGATTGCTGCTACCACGCTGCCGGCAGGCTGACTGACTACATCGTCCGAGTTTGCTGATATCTCCATGGACACCCAATTTGACACGTAGGCTGCTAGCGAGCAGTAATCGCCACGCACTTTGAGAATGTGGATCGATCATGGTTGTTCAATACAAAAGCGCCCGTGAAACAGGACCCAGCTGCCACTCAACATACCATATCGCTTTGTTCATGAGTCAAGACGCGAACTCTGAGCAATAACACAGCTCTTTGCACTGCTGTCGACAACTTACATTGCTTTTAGACGGTGGCTTGCAGCCCACATATGCTGTTGCCAACGGTATGCGAAAATTTGAAGTTTACTAAGAACAGCAGGAGCTGGCAATGTGCAAGGACAGAATATGGAGACCCCGACATCGACGTTAGGTTTAACCTACATTAGCACTTAGCAGTTAAAAAAAGGATGACATGCCCGGGAATGACGCGGTGGCCGCCCTGACATCGTGACGAAGTTGGGTGTGAGTAGAGACAATAGCTGGAGTACACATAATGTCAAGCGCCCATCAATCCAACCCTTCGGGCAGCAGCAGCATCAGCAGCCCGGCCATGTCCACCGATGCCGCTCAAGATCCGATCCAGAGCCGGCAGAGAGCACGGCTCTGCCCTGACCTGACACATATCCCCGGCGTGTCATGACGGACAGACCATTACCTCGCCTGTATAAATACAATGCAGGGCCTCCTCTAACATACCCACTGGGTGGGCAAATGCCCACCCAGTCGCCACAATTGCCCACCCAGTGGCGTCGATTTGCCCACCCAGAAGCAAATGCAAAAATAAAGGTCCGGCCGGACGTCCGGTACTACCTTTCCGGTCTTAAGCAAACTGGATGCTGTTTGAAGGTCAAAAAAAGTTTTCCGGTTGCTCGATATTCAGGAGCGTAGCCAGGATTTCCTCAAGGAGGGGGCTAAACGCACAAGGGCGCAAGATAACCCCCTCAAAATCCAAAAAGCCATCGGGTTGCATCCAATATTTTTTTGGATGGGGCCCAAATAAATGGAAAAAAATATTCATTAACAAACAATGTTAGAACTGAGGGGGTAAGCAGTATATGGGCCCCTGTTAGACAGGCCCACGAATAGCTTCATAGAGTCGCCAGCCGGTTCTGATGGCGGTCTGAGGACCCGTAGGTCGGATGAGGGTTCTTCAGACCGTCACAGGCCCCTATAGCCCATGAGAGCCTCGTAAGCCGTCTGAGGGTCATATAAGCCGTCTAGGGCCACTCAGACCGACAAAAGGCCCCTTGCACTTGCAGAGGCCCAGTCAGGCCGACGTAGGGCCCTCTCAGACAAACTAAGGGCCCGTTCAGGTCATTTGAGGGCCTCCTCAAACCGATAAGGGCCCCTCAAATCGACAGTGGATCCGATCCGAGCTCCCTCAAACCGATATAGGGTCAGACCAACAGTCGGAACGCATTGATTCTGTTTACACACCGTTGGACCCAAGTTGGACCCATCCCATCCAACTGGCCCCCTGGTTTCAATAGGGCCCCAAGGCTCTAAAATTGGGTCTCTCTTGGCCAAAGAATAACTACTCAGCTGTGTCAAAGGATCTGCCTCAGGGCCTTTGCGTCGCCAAGGGCCCACTGTGTCAGTCAGGGGCCCCTATGGAATAAGGACCCCTGGCTTCCAGGAGGGGCCATGGTCCCTTTGGCCCCCTCCTTGGCTATGCCACTGCAGGTGACAAACGTTCTTTCAGACGACCAGGGGGCAGGGGCCCAGGCGACCAGAACCCCAGGTGACCAGGGGCCCCCAGGCGACTAGCTCCCCCCAAGCGACCAGGGGCCCCCTGGGCGACCAGAGGCCCCAGGAAACCGGGGGTCCTCGGATGAGTGCAGGGGCCCATTGGGTAATCAGGGGCACCTCGGGTAACCAGGGCCACAGAAATGAAACTTGAATTGATATAAATTTGCTTCCGAGTAAAATACGTTTTATCCAGTGTTAGAAAAAAATATCCCGGGGCCTGTGGGGCCCCCATGGCGCCTTCTGCGCTCAAGGGAGGGGGCCATTGCCCCCGTGGCCCCTCCCCTTGGCCACGCCCCTGCCGATATTGGAGTTATCAAGTAATTGTCTCGTAAGTGAAAAGGCACGTACAATAAAGGTACAACCCTCTGCAAGCTGCGTGGTAGGTATCTTTTTTCGACAAAACCGAGAATAACGCGAATACGATAACGGTCATTCGGAAATCGTAACAGCAAGACGCGCGAGACTCCGCACCTTAGATTGGGCTTATTTTGGTATACATTTTCCATCTAGTTTGACAACAACACACAAGAGTTTATATTTCCCCCCAAAACAAACTTTTGCTTTTTTGCTACGGTAAGAGTAGGTACACATTGTTCAGTGACTGAATTAATCGAAGGGGTGGAGCATGGCGCATCTATATGCAATGTGTTCCGACCGACTGATAATCATAACCTTTGAGATATTAGGTATCGGTTTTGTCGAAATAAGAATACCTACCACGCAGTTTTTGCGGAGGGCTGCAAGTACAGCCCTCTGCAGACTGCGTGGTAGGTATCCTTTTTTCGACAAAACCGAGAATAACGCGAATACTATGCTATCGGGCACTCGGAAATCGTAACAGAAAGATGCGCGAGACTCCGCAGCTTAGATTGGCATTATCATCGTATGCATTTTCCATCCAGTTTGGCAACAAAACCCAAAAGTTTATATTTGCCCCCAAAACGAACTTAAACATTTTGTTGCCACACAAGGCGTAGGTATGCTTTGTTTATTGATAGGCCCTATCGAAGGAGTGGAGCATGGCGCATCTATTTGCAGTGAGCTTCGACCGACTGATAACATGACTTTTGAATTATAATCAGTTTTGTCGGAAAAAGAATACCTACCACGCAGTCTGCTGAGGGCTGTACATGTAATCTGGAACGAATCGCTCGAGCATCGCTAACCATAAAACATACGACAAACGTTAACTATCATCTTATTTCCAATAATGGCACAGCTTATTTCGTCTCATCCCCGCACCCCCCCCCCCCGGTAACAGGTTTTGAAATTGGTTGAACCCCAAAACAAGTGGCTGGATCCGCCCTTGGGCGGGGAAGTGGCGAAAATTTTGCCCACCCAGTGAAAAATCCTTAGAGGAGGCCCTGATACAATGTATACAGTATACCTAACTTACCTATTTCTAAGTCTCATGTTGAGGCAAGAAGTGATCAGCATCCAGTTCTACTTCGACGAAGACTCGTATTCAGACCTGGCAAAGAGAGCACGGCTCTGCCCTGTTTCCGCGGCTTCTAATGGCCACATCGATACGAGACATCTCCAATCGTCTGTTTTACCTAACTACAAAACCAGGTTGTTGTGTTGCGATTAGCACGATACAATTGTTGCGTACAGCGTAGATATTTGTTAAATGCGTAATTAATTAGAAATAGGAAAAGTAAACATTGCCATCGTCATTCGCCAAACAGGCGATGTCAAGCATAAGTCTGTCCGTCATGACACGCCGGGGATGTGTGTCAGGTCAGGGCGGCTCTGCCCTGGGGGATGTGTGACGCGCTCTATGCCGGCTCTGGATTCGGGTCTTGAACGACACCAGCGCGGTGGGCACGGCCGGCTGCCGGTGCCGCTGCTGGATTGAGCGACACAATTGATTTATATGTGTACTCCCGCTATTGTCTCTACTCAATTCGTCACACTGTAAGGGTGGCCAAACTGTCATTCCCAGACATGTTATCTTTTCTTTCGAACTGCTAATCTAAGTAAAACAAACGTCAATCCTTGCAGCTTGATGAATAAACAAAGCGATATGTTACGCTAAGGAGGCAGCTGTATTCTGTAAACGGAATGTTTCGAGTGAATTACCCAGAAGCGTTGAGTCTTTTCTTAGTTCTGTTTGGCTTATTTTCTGAACAATCGACACAGAACAACGCGGCAGAGGTACCGATGCTGCACTGAAACTTTCCGCTCCGACAATATGGGTAGCGCACCCCTATCATGTGAAAGAAGACCACGCATTTTATTCCCTCCCACCACTGGCCGGCCGGCCGCCCGGTAGATGTCGTGGCGCGCGGTGCCGATAAGGCGCCTCCGCCGGCGCGCGGCGGCGAATTCTCGCCCTTACTGACACCGGCCCGCCGCCGGGCGTGACATGGTCCTCTTCAAGCCGTTTGGGGAGCATGAAGCAGTTAATATTTTTCGGAAAAAAGGACATCGTTGGACTCAGAAAAGAATACCTCACCACACGAGCCATGAGCCCGTATACTTTTCCAAAATTCGATTTTTTTGAACAACCCTAGACTATGTAAGGATAGCTCACCTGTTATTTTTTAAGTTTGGCGACATAACGTTGACAAGAATTAACCTGCGCCCCGTGGGGGGGGGGGGGGTCCGAAGCGGCCCCCCTGTCCTTTTCCGTCGATATCTCCTAAACGGCTGGAAATAGCGCCACCAAACTTTCAGTACCCCTCCGGGCATCAATTTTACACATTGTGACCAATTTTTTCCAGAAACTATGATAGGTTGGCCACAAATGACGTCAGAATGACGTCATGCTCTGCCATTTTCGACCGAAAAAGGACCTTCGCGAGAAGAGCTATCAGGCCTACAGCTTTTAAGATACAAAAAAAAAAATGATAAGACATAAAAGGTGTAAAATTGAATGGGCTGCAAAACTGCTATCTCGGATTTTTGAAATTTTTGAGTTTTGACCCCCAAAAAGCATAACAGTATTTTTTCTATATTAGCCAAAAAATCCAAAAAGTTTTTTGAGTTTCGAAAAACAGGAATATATGTGATAGTACCCATCGTCTTCTATCTACATACCAAATTTCAGATCGATGTCTCGTTTTTTGGCCAAGTTATAGCGAAAAAAAAAACTGTTCAAAAATGACGTCAAATTTTCAAACTCAATTTTTTGCAACTTCAGACCACGTAGGGAAAAACAAAGACCACCATTAGACTCCCCATGACGAGCTGCATCGAATCGATACCCATTTTATGCAAAAATATCAACTTCGAAATTTGACCTAATTTGACCTTACCTTGACCTGACCTTCACCAAAACGTGACCTAAGCTGGCCCCAAAGACTGCCTGACTCACCTAATCGCATTTGTCATGTAAAATGGATCATAAAACATGTATCACACGACACTTTCATATTGTGACCCCCCCCCCCCAGTGACCTGACCTCTGTGAATTGACCTGGTATCAGTGACCTCAGATAGCAAAGTATGTGTTTGACGAACAATGTACCATCGATGGTTTTCAATAACTTACCAATTTACTCGATTTCACAACACATTTCTTGAAATGCCTGCGAACGGTGAAAATCCGACCTTTGACCTGACCTGTGACGTCATCGGTTTAACCTAGGTCAAGGAAATTTGGTCACGAGGTAGTTCCCCGTAGGGCTATCGAACGCCGTTTGAATTTTGAAAATCGGCCGGTAAATTTCCGAGATCTTGGGGGGGGGGGCCGAAACGCCCTCCCCCTACGGGTGGTAGGGTCCACCAACGGGTTAGGGTCCACCGCGCCCTCCACCTACGGGGCGCGGGTTAAGTGAATTATTTCTCAGTCAGATATGCCGCGTGAAACTGCGGTGGTGGTGTTTTTGTTTCTGGAAAACCATAGAGCTAGATTCTGTGGGCTCTTATGATATGGACTCGCTCTGAAAGGTTGGATGGAAATTTTAGTGTGTCGACCATGTCGTACTTTGTAGCTAATAACTCACCTCGAATGTGACAGGGGCGGCGTCTCTTTCTTTGAATGAAGACCGAGTAGATAAGCCATATTAGGATTTACCATTGTGACACTCTGGAGATTGGCTACCTGACGACCATCCACAATATTCAGGTCGAACGGTGCCATCTGCTTTCTCATCGTGATTCTGCGAGCGGGACATTTCAATGAATTGACTTTTAAAGGGAAACCGAATGAAACGGCTTGATTTGGTGTCCTCGATCTGTCTTGGCCTTTAAAACAAGAATACCGCAGGATGAAAACTTGCAGCACAAGATATTGTAAAAATGATTATTCTTTGCTGAAACTACTTGCTATAGGTATACCTACAGTCGCTTCTACACTCTACAGTCGCTTACTATGTATAATGGTAAGCGGCTGACTTACAGCAATCTCTACGAATTGGTACTTTTCAGAGGCCCTGAAATCTTTGTCGGTATTGACGGCTTCATGTTTGCCTAACGATAAAACCTACATCATGACATGAGCAGCAGCGATTGACCATTTGCGCGTTGCAAGTGGTGTAAGACTATAATTATGAATTATATATTTAGGTGATGGGCCGTTTCACGCTACTCAACATTGTGGAAAGTGATACACGGCGTAGTTGCGGGGCTGTGGTTACTGGTCTATTTATGTGAGCACCGCTCATTTGCATAATAGATGTCCCGCAGAATGAATCGAGTTAATTTATCATGTCAATGTTAACTGTGGAGATTATACATGTAACACGCTTGAAACGGGACATGAAATGTAATTAAATGTTCATTAGATGGTATATCAGCACAACTAGCTGGTCCCGTTTTCCTTGCCGAAAACGCTCATAATGCAGCCAGCTATTTGTTTATTTTATTAACAAAGTGGTGCAGTTGCACGGACCGGAGCGGCGGGCCGTGCCAACCGGGAGTTCCACAGGGGAACGACGACAGGGGACGGACCTGACAAGAAGGGGCGGCGACACTGGACAAGATCGACACTGTGATAGCGATCGACGGTGAATCTGACATAGGAATGAGAAGTGGACGAAACCGACAGTTCATATACATGAACTACCGATGAAAAGAGCCATTGACGAAGGGAATCTTTGGAACCGGGACTAAAACCCATCTGGGAACCGCAGCGATAGGTGCCAGCGACTCAAATATGAGCTCGGCTCGCACGGTCCTGATTGTGCGGACTTGGACTGAAACATTTGATATGGGACAATCTTGATAAAAAGGCGAGCAAAACACGGTTGACCTTACTTGCAACGTCTGATATGATTAGTCAAGACAGGCGCCTAGGGATGTATCATTTGGGTACATTCATTGTACCTACAATCTACACTCTGCATACCTGCGTCAGAAGTGTACGGATTGCGGATCTGTTTACCTTTTTCAAACGCGTCACGAAGCAGTATGCATGGAAGATTGCGTGCCAAATTAATCAGGCCGTGTTTCGGGGGCTGTGGTGGTACGGCGTGGAATTTTGCATCTGCTGATGGTATGTGAGTCGTAACTTTTATTCCAATCACTAAAACAGTCCCTGTGATTTCCATAGTGTTCTGCGTCGTATTCGTGTGGACGGCGTAATGCTTATACTTGAGGGACAAAGTGCCTATCACTCACGCTCTTCACGCGTTGGAGCACGTCTCTGATACGCCCCGGACAACTGTTACCACAGCGCGTTCCCCACCGCTCCCCGGTCGCCGCTGTTCCTGTCCGTCACCTTCCACTCGGCCGGGGCGGGCGGGCCGCTCGGGCCGACCACGTGGCCCTATATTTACAGCTCCGTCCGTCGGCCGCCACTCGGGCCAGCACGGCGGTACGGCGCTACGGCCGGCGGCCAGCTGCCGCCGGACGGCTGCTCAGAGACCGCTGCGTTTGTTTAATGGCTCGGCGCGATGTGTGGAGAGATAGGAGCAGCATGGCGGGCCGCTGCGAGCCGCGCTCCCCGCCACTCAGGACGTGGTTTATGCGAGAAAATCGAGAATTTTATGTTCGTTTCAGCTCTGCCACTTGTAGAACGATAAACAAGAATGTGGACATAATTCACACCATCCTGTTGCTGAGCCTAAGACCGAAGATTCCATCAGCTGTTTTGCATGACATGTTCTTTGACGTTCACAGTTTCAAGCGTCACGCCTTTTGGAAGTCGGGCAGGCGATGATTAATGTTCGGCAGATGCGGCGTACGCTGTGAAAACGGTCGCTATGGTCGCCGTGGCCCCATCGTGTGTATCGCCATGTTTCTATGACAACTTGGACCATTTGTAGATGTGTGTGTCGCCATGGGCACATCCACTGTCCGGCTATGTCCCGATTTGTAGCATGATGTGCCGGTCAGTAACTTACTTTGTAGCCGTTTTAAGCTAACATTCAACAGTTGTCAGCCGCCTCTCTGCGCTCCCAGTGCCTTCTCAGGTGACCCATGGTGACCTGTGACCTCAGACCTGACCTGTGTGTTCTGTCCCTCAGATGACAAGCTGTCCGAAATCCTGCCGGCGGACGATGCCTCTCGAGTGCCGCTCCGCGAGGCACCAGTTTCGGACGCTTCTCACCCTCCGCCTGGCGACGGCGCAGGTAAGAGCGTGTCAATCTCACCCAAAATGTCAAAAATAAAACAACCCAACAAAGCGGCAGGTCTCATTTTTCCTCACACTCCGTCTCGTGCGGCTACTAAAGAAGTTTCGGTCAATTTTTCACCGTGCCCTAAAACGTTAGCAGGCGTCGGCTTAGCTCAGTGTCTCTACGGGAGGTGTTTTGCAGCCTCGGTGTGGTGGTTTACTCCGTCTGGAACCTTGCACTCATTGAGTCTGTTGCATCACTGTCTGGGACCCGGGTGGTGTCTGCACAGAAGGCGGACCTCTGTTCCCTCCCGGCTCCCGGTCAGACACTCCAGCGGCTGACTGTATCGCTCACGACGGCTTGGTACTGTCGTTTGCGACGGTCGACGAACAGCTGGACAGAGTGAGCTCAAGATTACTAGTGCAGCTCACCGTCGTACCCTCTCAAAGATCTGGGCCGGTTCGACAGTGTGCTAAAACTACACGGCAATCGGTGCAGTGTTTGCCTTGCACTCGGGGCTCGTTTGTGATATTCGGTGGCACACAAAGCCCGGCCGTTCACCGAGACTCCGTACAGTATCTACATCGCTCCCCGCAGTCAGCTGGGACTGATAACCTGCGGGGCCCCACCACCAGAGGCTGGTGCGCACCTCGTGGCCCGCCGCCGGAGGCCACCGAGCCGTATGCAACACAGCTGTGACGAGGATGTCCGCGGGAGACGCTGAGTTAGATCGCCAGTGTGGCTGTTTGTTTAATTAATTAACTCGCTGTTGTGACTTAATACGGGAGATATGGCCAGCGAGCGTCTGACAGTGAGCACACCTGGGGCGGTGCGGGGTGGCGGAAGGATTAGTCAGGCTGTGCGCTCAGCTGGGTGGTCCAGGAAAATCGCCTGTAACATCTGCAGATAGGTTAAACTGGCGTACCTACGGCGACAAGGTAGACGGCAATAGCATATTGTTGCGCGTTTAATTATATTGCTCTATTTCTTGTGTGTCTAAAGTGCTAAACGGTGATTTGTTCCGAGAAATATGCCAGTCCCTCTCCTCTATGTTTCCGGTCAGCTTGGGCAGAACCATTGCTGTCTGTCTCCGTCCATGTCTCCTCTTATTTCGCTTGTCTCTGCCTCTGTCTATGTCTCTGTCTCATATTTCTGTACCTACCCACAAGGATTGGTCAGTTCTGCGTAGGCGCGGCGCCCGGTCAGCTGCGTCGCCCCGTCTCCGTCTCCTGTCTCTGTCTCTGTCTTTGTTTATGTCTCCTCCGTCTCCTTGTCTGACGAGTGCGTCTCCTGTCCCACACAGGCTCGGCGTCTGGCCAGCTGCGGCGCTCCGTGTCCGTCTCCTGCGCGGGCGGCCGTCTGACGGTGGCCGTCCCGTCGTCTGACGCGGATGCCGTCTCTGTGAGTCTCCTGCACCTGGACGACTGGGGCTGCTACTCACACCGGAACGGCACGCATCTGGTGGTCAGCGGGCCCCTGACAGAGTGCGGTACCGGCCAGCGCCGCGACAGGAGCGGAGCCACCGAGTACTTTAACACGGTACGTGACACACAGGAATGCAGAAGTAAGATACAGGGGCGGAAGGAGTTAGGGGTAATAGGATTCATGTATGATACTTAGGACCTACAGCTGGAGGATCAGCATGGTCGTAATACGTGCTGACGTTGGCAGGCGGCAGCCCTCAAGGGTTACAACTCAATGAGATCAAGGCATATCCGTGCAGAAGATGATTTTCTGTTTCATGAACGGATAATTTTCAAAATTAGGCTTAGTATTTCTTAAATCATTTGGAGCTCGTCTCTATCCTTAAGCTCCTAGTCATGCTATGTTGTTTCAGAACTACTCAGCAACTCACGCCAGATAGGTAATGAAAGGAAATGTGGATTGTGCGAAAGAAGTATTGTGTTGGGATAAGAAGCGCAATCATTTCTCTCCCAGTTACGGCTACGACGTCAAGCCTATGTGTCAATGACACTGTTTCAAATATACTTACTGTAAAATTGATGGCCTGCAAACGGATGCCCGTCCGATCGGGCCGAGCTATATAAATCGAGTGCAACGCTGTCTATTTACGGCAACCCGGTGGCTGATATCATTAGCATTAGACGCGGCATATGCCGGCTGCTGACACGTGGACACGGTGACACTTGTGACACGTATGACACGTGTGACACGTGTGACGGGTATGACACGTGTCACATGGCTGATGAGCGGGGATGCCACGGCGAATGTGAGATGTGATAGAACTGAACGGACAGAGCATGTCCTTTTTGTGCAGTGTAGATATAGTCGGTATACTTTGGATGCAGCATTGCAGAATGAAGGTTCATCCCGTAAAGGCATGGCTACACTACGCGTTTTTTTTTTGCGTGCGTTTTTTGTGGGTTTGCGTTTTTTGCGTAATATCGTTCTAGAAAAAGTTATAAATTATATAACTTTTACATTAGTTACATAAGAAGTTAACATAACTCTTATATTAACTAAAATGCAAGATAAAAAACATCACAAAAACGTAATATCGTTTATTTTTCTAGAACGATGTTACGCAAAAACCGCAAACCCGCAAAAACCCGGAAACGCCCGGAAACGCATAGTGTAGTCAGGCCTTTGTTTGTAATAATTGATGTGTATTGGGTATCGTCGAAGAAATATATAACGTAGCTACCCAAATTCTGCTATCGCATGCATGACTGGATTTCTCAGACGGGGATTTATTCGACATATCAGCCAATAAAAGTGAAATCTGATTCAGTCTGTCGGGTTCATTGGGTACACGGTGAAAATATTGTCGTGGCAGCAAAACATCGTTAGGAACGGTGTCGGTTTGTTTATTTAATTGACAGCAAAACACGGTTTATACATCAGCGTACGACAAGAAACAGCCAGGTAATAGTTTCCAGTGATAATTACAGAGCAAAGTTACATTGTTTTGTTCTTCGAGGATAAGTCCATTCAGTATTTGGTATAGATGACTCATTCGTTCCAGGGCAGCACTGGACAGATAAATTCCATTTTGTCAGCTGATGAGTTATGTCCTCGAATCGGTTGATCGGGCCACTCATGCTGTCTTTTTGCAGCAGAGAGCCATTTTCGCTCAGTCACTTGAGCGCACGTTTCGCAGAACGTATCGATAAACATGCCGTGCGATGATTGAAATGTTTGCCGATCGGTGTTTTGACACAGAGGGCGTATCGATGTTAGTGCCGCGCCGAGCACTTAGTGTGACATGGTCCAGAGGTGCACTCTGTACCCTGAGCTGACATCAGATCGGCGCGCAGAGGGGCAACGCACTGCCGGCCACGTGATCGGCCGCGGACGGCAGGCGCCCGCCACGTGACCTTTAGCCCCCGGGAGAGGTGCGTTTGTCTTCCGCGTACTTTTGCGAAGTTGCAATGTCCTGCGTAGTGCTCTACAATTTGCTCTGGCAGTGTAGTGTGCTTCCTTATGAGGAGCCTACGCCGGGAATAAGCTCGTTGAACCGGAAAGGCGGAAAGAACAATGAGACAAGTCAAATAAGACGAGTTACGCCGTGATTTTGGCTTCTGGGTAAGGAAGATGCCAGAAGTTTTGCATCCCTTCCCTTTACCACTAGTTAGAAGTTACATAACAATTGGAAATATTAGTTATTTTAGAGTGCTATTTTTGCATCTCCCTCTGGGCTGTGCTCTAGCCTGGCGGTGTTTCTCGGGCGCTAGTGATTGGTAGCCTTGTTAACATAGCGGAGGCTGGCTGAACGGGACGGCCAGACACGGAGCTGACGCATTGTGATGTGTGAGGGTCGCGAGACACGCGGTCGACAGGCTCGGTGCCCGTCGCCGTGCAGTGTGCCAGTGGTGACCTCTCTGGGCTGGTCCGAGTGCAGTACTGCAGTAGTGCTGTAACGGTGCCTATCCGATGTGTCCCAATGGACTTATGGGGAAAATGCGGAAATACGAGTACAGCGGCGGATAGCGGTCTCAGCTTGGGTGGAATGCGGGGCAATAGTTCTGCAAATTGAACTCTACTCGTGCCTTACCGAACCGATGCTTCGTTTCGGTAGGTACTTGTATTTGCTTAATTTGACGAGACATATTTTGCATGCCGCTTATTCCCGGCGTTGCACTTTCTCCATGATGGTATATGTGAGCATTAAAATGTCGTTCATCTGTACAGCACCTACCTGCTCCGAGGCGCAGTGAAGGTAACGTCCGAAAGCCACGATATTCTCAGAGTAAACGCCATAGGCCCCGGCTAAATATAGGCATCCACAGCTGCAAACGTTTGCACATTCCAGCTGTGGGTTCATAAGCTCTTACACAGCCTCAAATAACCAACACTCTGTCCTAAGCATTCATTGCAAACCTATCAACACGAATGTACAGCCTTTCATTTCTCCCTGAATCTTTGCCTGATAGCTTCATGCCGTCTCGGCATCGACAGGTGCTGCTATGTAACAGTAGATCCGGCAGTTGATACGGAGCATTAGGTTGGCAGCGTGCATCTATCGGATTCTGGACGCTAATGGCATTCTACCGGTTTTCCCAGAAATACCTACGCTGTCTTCCCACGCTGTCAATAAGGCACTTACGGCATTAGCGGCTATTTTCTCACAGCTATTACGGGAGCGGGCGTGCACGGCGCTCGGAGCCGCGTAATGGCCGCACTTTCGGAGTACTACACAGTGACTGAGGCAATCCACCTGGTAGTGACGAGCTGCTGCCGGTCGGGAGCACGACGTGTGATATTGGGCTGTTCCTTCTGAACTCAAAAACATTAGATTAACAAGGGATTTCGTGTCAACGTTCTGCCTTTGTACACAGCAATATGCCTTATAAATCTACATACCTACCCTTTTTGGGTATGAAAACGACAGAGCATGACGATGTTACACACTGTCTCAAAAAGATATAACACTAGCAACTGAACCGTCAAGGCTCAAGGCTGTGATCTTCAGCCTGCTCTAAAAGTCGTAACTCAGTGCAGGCTTAGTTCGCTGTGCTCCCACTCCGTCCCGACTATGACTCGTTCTCTGACTCTGCGGCCCGACTATGACTCACTCTCTGACTCTGCGGTCCGACTATGACTCATTCTCTGACTCTCCGGTCTCCGTTTCAGGTCCATTTCGTGGCGGCCCCTCTGCCGGAGGATGACGAGGATTTCGAGGGCTCCGGAGCCGGGATTGGCGGCGGTGATGGCTCCCTCAGCTCCTGGCCGAGGCCACAGCGGACCAGTGGAGGCTCGGTGCCGCTTAGCTGCATACCGCCGCAGGCAGAGCAGCCCAACGACGACCAGGTGCGAGCGCCTTCAGCGGGGGTCCAACGAGACCTGCCAGAGCGTGTACGGCTATTTTATTATTGGTACTGTTTTGTCATACGCATTCATTTTGAACTACCTTGTTCGCTAAACTAGCAACGAGTTATGTAAAGGGCATTGATAAATGATAATAAGATGACATTACTGGAAAGTGGTTAGAAATACCGAATACTTTCGGTCGGCACTCCCTGACAATCCAAACTGGCTCGTCGCAAAGTCACAGAGGGTAGCGGAAATATTTTGACCCGTCTTGACGTGACCTGTGACGTCAGCGGCTGACTGCCTCAGTCACATACCTATCGTGCCATGCATAGTGTGCCGTTCAGCACTCTCTGTGCATCCACAAAATCGCTGGGCATGCATCCACTACATCGCTATTTATGCATCCGGTATGTCACTGAGTTTGCGGTATGCCACTGTACCCCACAGCTCGTGTTTTAGTCCGACAAGGTCGCCGCCCGTGCCGGTCCGCTCGCTCCGTGTATCCTCGTTCCTCCAGTGACGTCAGCAGCTCCGCGTTCTTACAGGACGTCACTCTGGACATTGACGAGGTGGGCGCAACCATGTACGACCTGGAGCTGGCGAGCGACCCGCAGTTCGCCCGGCCCGTCGAGCCCAACGTTCAGGTGGCCGTCTCCGAGACCGTCTACATCAGGGCCACCCTCTTCATGGGTGAGTGAACAAGTCGTGATCCAGGCGCGTGCATTGGACTGATCTGAATACCGTTGTTTCGTGACAGGTGGTTCGGATTTTCCTGAACTGCTTGCGCTATGTTTAATAATGAGCTGCTTAACGAGTTTCCTTTTTATTGTTGGTTACCTCGATATGGGTTTTCAAGCCACGATTTCTGTTGTTAGAATGTGATTTTTGCTGTTGGTGCAGCGTATCTGCACGTTATAAAATGCCTACACTGGCGCTGTAAATCCAAGTAATGCGCTACGCCGATAACTCCATAATGTTTTCTTGCAGACCGGGCAATGGCTTATCTAGACGAATTAGCCTGACCTGTCTCTCCCCCATTTCGTCATACCGACTTGACCTGAGCTGTTCTCCTGACCTGACCTGACCTGACCTGACCTGACCTGACCTGACTGGTCTCCTCAGCGCCGTACCTGGTACCGGTGGCGGAGCAGTGTTGGGCGAGCGGGGCGGCCTCGCCGGCCTCTGCGGCCGCCTCCGCTCAGGTAACCCTGGTGGACGGCGCGTGTCCGGCCCGCTCGACGGTGACCCGTCTGACGGGTCGCGACACCTCCTCCCCGGCGGCTGTCTACAGGGTCCAGGTGAGAGTCCACAGGGCACCGCACTTCGACCACAGGGCATCGCTCACCGGCCATCGGCTTCGGCCGCTACGGGCGGCACGAAAACACGCCGAGTAATTGTGCAAAAATTTTTAGACTACGGCGAAAAAAAGACAGTGCATGCTACACATGAATGTAGTTATCCCTAAAGGCCTCTGCGGAATGCGGGTTGTAGGGCTTACGCTGGGTTTTTTACTGCACGAATACCGTTTGCAATTTGGTCAACGGATATTCAAGGTCTTTGCCTTTGGTGGAGGTCGGTATTTTCAAGTGCAATGAAGTCAACTAAGTTCGACCGTTAGGGAAGTGACAGCCAGTGTCCTTCAGGCTCGAGAGGAAAACACATTGCTCGTGAACTTTGTGCATGTTTAGGAGAATTCGTGGCTTATTATTCAGACATTTTCTGGTAAGGTGCAACATTAGCTACATTCTGTACTGTAACTGGCAGCGAAGTCCAGATTTTCTTTGGTTGTTGTTCAAGGGATCTGAAACTTATTTGCGAGCGATATGGCCTAGCCTGTCCCTGTTATCCGGATACCGCTAACTGAGACGGGGAGACACGGTTAGGCTAACCTGACTCGACCCTACCCCTGACTCCCCCTTTTGCCCGCAGGTGACCCGCGAGTTCGCCGCCCTGGGACCATACTACCTCCACTGCCGGATCGGCGTCTGCGCCACCCCCGACTCCCCGGCCCGGCAGCACATTGTGCAGGTGAGTGCAGCGCCGCCCCGCGGCCACTCGGCGAACTAACCGGGGTCGTGCTGACGGCGCACCGCGGCTGCGGCACAGAGTCGCCGCCCGACCGACGACATGGAAAGTCCATTATGATTTGCAGCTGATGCGAACTGAAAATATCACTTCGATGATGTGCGGACGGGTGATTTCTCGGGAGCGGTAGTTCTTTAAATGTCGGGTCGCCCGCGGTATCCTGCTGTGGTTGCCGCCGGGGCTATGTTCGACAAATGGGGACCAGTGCTGAACTGGACCCTAGCCAGTGTCGGCGCCAAGACAGAGTGTATGGGGCTATCGTTCATAGAAAACCGCACCATCCAGTCATTCAGTGATCTGAAAAACGTATCGCGACATCATACGAACTTGGCTAGGATTTTGGAGCGGGACCATGACATGATCCGTCTCAATTAAATGATGAAGGATCCGTCTCTTATTTTCTTCCCTTTCTTCCTTTTCTAACAGTTGATCTTCTGTTCTCAGTGTCTTGAGGACCCGGTGGGTCACTGCTCGGCCGCCGGTGTAGCGTCCCAGACCTCAGGGCGGCGGCTGGCCTCCGGACTACAGGTCATCAGCAAGGGACCCTTCTTCACATCACTGTCAGGTTAGTGGCTGGGGGAAGCGCTGTGACGTCATGAGTCTGGGCCACCAGCGTCACTGAATCGTGACCCTTTGGCAGTCGACACTGTCAGAGGACGCCTTGAGACTAAGGAAGCTAACTAGACTGCCGTACTATTGCTGCATACTTTCCTTGGTCAATCTTAGTACCACTGTCTACTGGATCGAATACAGACAAGTAGCCAAACTGAGGATCATCAATTTCCAAAATATAGTCTATCATCTCGGCAAGGTTCGTGGAGACTTGTTCAATAGAAAAGCAGCTGTCAGGTCATCGAAGCCATCTAGTTGAGATAACTATCCCGAGCCAACGCAAAACATCATCTATCACACTGAGATGTATCTCAAGGTATGTGAGGCATTGAGAATGATACGGCCAAGCTGCTGGAGGGCTGTTTATTTTGCGATTATGTGTACAGCTCCGCAGTTCGCGACGCGGCCCCGTTTGTTTACTATTGACCACCCTTGCACAACCGTGTGGATGTTGTGTTTTCGTTGTTGTGCATTCATGCAGCGAGCGTGCTGACTGGCTGATGACTTAGGCTGGTCACCGAAAACTGGTAGCAGCAGTTTTATCGGCTATATGCACTCTACATGTGAACGCTAATAGTCACGAGCGGGATTCCTGAGAAAAGTTCGATGAATCTGCGTCAGCTCGACTTGCTTTTGCAATGATCCCGACAATAGGATCATTTCGCTAGCAACAAGAACGGCTAGCAACAGCTTTTCCCTGCATTCGCCCACGTACGCTTGCTAAAAACAGGTGAAGCCGTCTACCGGTTCTCTCTCACACCGCACTGACACGGGCTTAAGGACCACCACAAGAAGTTTTATGGTGGCGTGAGTTCCTCCGAGCCGTGTGGCTTAGGTACTCCAGTTGCCCTGACGACACAGAGCACTGGCGTGCAGGTTCGGGGAGCAGCCGTACTACCGGTGTTACAAGTCTTATCCAGTGAGACGGTTCCTGGCCGCCTGGCCTCACCTGGCTCGGGAGAAATAAAGCTCTGTGCAGCTGTGGTGCAGGTGTTTGGCCAGGTTCCCGATGCGTGGATTACTGTGTGATGGTACACGTCAACGCTGCGACCTTGGCTTGGTCTGCGTAGCTGCTTATCACCGAGTCTGGTCCCATCTACGACACGCATAAACTTCTTGCGCATGGACTGTCTGCATAGCTCACCCCTTGCTATATCATATCCATTATCCACCCACCTCTACATAGAACGATATTCCCAGTAAATATACGACTGGTCCCAGGGTTGTGCTCGACTCAAAAAAATTTGCCGACTCGACTCATCATTCAACTTCAGAAAGCCCTGACTCAACTCTGACTCAAACAAGGAGCTGATTTCTTCCCTTGACTCGACTCATGACTCAAGCGGCTCAATGAAAATATGAGTTGACTCAAACTTGACTCAATTTTTTTGCTGAGTCAAGTGTGTTGACTCAAAATTGACTCAGCTAAAAAAGTTGTTGAACGGGGGGGGGGGGGTGAAAAAAATCCGGCAGCAGGGCCAGGCCTAAGTTGTTAAGCGGGGGGAGAATGAAAAGCTTGTATAGATTGTTTCTAGAAAGATGAGTCAGCTAACTCATGTTTCTAAATGTTTTTGACTCAACTCAATGTCAAAAGTTTTTTTTACTGACTCAACTCTGACTCAACTCAACATCTTAATATTTTGGTCTGACTCAACTCTGACTCAACTCAACAGCTCAACATTTTATCCGACTCGACTCAAACCTGACTCATCTGAGTCAGAGTTGAGTCAAATCTCTGACTTGACTCATGAGTCAAGCACAACCCTGACTGGTCCACTGTCAGCTTCAGGTGTAATTTACCGATATGCTCACCTCTGACCTCTGACTCAACTGACACGTGCTTTACCCCTGTGTGTTACAGCGGACAGCGACGGGGACGGGGACGCCGCCGGTCGGCGTCCGCTGCCTCCGATGGGGGTGTCGCACGAGACGGTAGCCGGTATCGGGATAGCAGCCTTTCTGCTGGGAGTGCTGCTCATGGGAGGCGTGTGGCTCATACACACCAAAATTGGTACGTGGAGGGATCGGGGGTATGGTGCTTAGTCTTTACCTGGATGTATAGACTACTAAAGGGGAGGTCGGGTGTTGCACCGTCGCTACGCTCTTACATCTGAACTGTTTTTCCGATGTAGAAGAAGAATATCACGTTTTGTCGGTTCGCTCTATCGCGGTCCTTGTGTAAGATGTGACGTTTGGTAGTAGGTATGTAGGTACTGGTGTCGGTCATAGGCCGTAAGTATGTCTAAAAAGCCAACTGAGTGCCAATTATATAACCTGAGTCGGTCTTTTGCGGTAGGTAGGTGTGTCACCGCTGATGGCCCGTCTAAAATATAGCTCCCTGCTGTGCTTGACACTCCCCTGCGGGTGCCACACTTAGAGAGCAGTGATGGCATCAACAGTCACGAGAGCACTCCAGCAGGCTCTGAGCTCTGCCTTTTTATTGGAGTTAATCGGATTACTTTGATGCCACCCAGATGGCCATTAAGCAGCGAGCCCAGCGTTATCGCTCACGGCCGTCGATTTACGTTAGGTGGCTGATATCGCTGATTCAGAGAAGTTAGCCAGAATGATGACTGAAATTCTGAGAACACGTCTAGCCGGAGTCGGCTATTTTTAACGTATAAATCTCTCTGGGCTGCTGACAGATGCTGTCAGGATGAATGATTCATTTCTGACTGAGATCCTAGTCCCACGTCGGCTTTTCCTTTGAGCCTGCTCTGCTCATGGATTAAGAACTTTTGACAAAATCCACCTGGGCTGTTGCCAGGTATAGAAACTGAATTACTAGCCCCTGCACGGTGTATGTCATTACCTACATCGTTGTTTCGTGTTAGCGGATTAAAGAACTTAGTTGCTTCATCCCTCATCGTCGTTTTGTGCCCTAGGTACCAATTCAATTCATTCAGTTACAATTCTGCCCTATTGTTGATGTTATTGTCTCGCTATCCCCGTTGCCTCGATCCCTAAGCATACCCCTGTCGCCCTGAGGCTGACCACCACCCCCCCCCCCCCTCTCCCCCGTGTTGCAGGTCCGACGAAGCGGCACCACTTCCAGGCAGTGCCGCAGAATCCCGGTCTGGAGCCGGTGGGCGGCAGTGCTGGCGGGGGCGGCGGCGGCGGCGGCGGCGGCGGTGGCCAGTCGGCCAACTCGACGCCCAACTCCCAGACGCCCATCATCCTGGCGGGCCGCGCGGCGCCGCCGGCCGTCGGGGTCTAGCCGCCGCCGGCCGCGCTCCACCGCGCTCCACCCAAGACATCCACAGTACAAATGTTGTTACCTCAGCAAGTTTGGTTTGTTCCTATCTGTTCTCTGCCATTCACAGTCATTGCGAGAGCCGCCTCGCGTCGGGGCGTTGGCGCCTGGCGGGCCGAGCACCCGGGTACGGCCAGCGCGAGCTCCAGGGGAGCGACTCTAGCGCCGCCACGCGGCCGGACGCAGTACTTACCACCTGTCGATGTGTGAGCTTGATCACGTGACCTGAGGGTGGGGCCTGACACACCGCAGGTGGGCTGGGGAGGAAGGGGGTCGTAGAATGCAGCGCCCAGTATCTGAGGGCGACCGTTTAGCGGGGGGGGGGTCTTAGTGTGCGACCAGATGCATATGCGGAGTGCCGAGCTCCCGCTCTGCGCCGGAGCCGCGCCGGTCGGGAAGATCAGCGCGCAGTTGTATTTGTGCATTTCACGTGCGTGGCGTGGGTAGTACGCGAGCCGTTGTGTAGAGTTGTTGGACGTGAGACTGAGTACCTGGAGTGGCCGTGCGCGACGCGATTTAATCACGGTCGTTACTAGGGGCGCGGGGGTCTGGCGCTCGAGCCACACGGGTACCGTCGCACGGGACGGAGGGAGGGGCGCCCCCTGCAGAGTAGGGCCGCGCGCCGCCGCTAGAGGACGGACAGTTTAGTTGGCCGGCCCGTGGGTGGTCGTTTTAGTGGGCAGTCTCAGCCGGGACCGTAGGCGGGTGGGCCTATGATGCCATTAATCACATACGTAATCGGTGACCATATCTGAGGGAATGTCGGCGGCCTGTCGCGATCCCGCGCTCGGCTGGAGGAGCCCTCCGGCGACCCTCCTGGTGCCCTCCGTGCCCTGGACGGTCCGGATCGGAAGTGCTGCTCAACTAGCGGCCGCCCTCTTGGAGAGGAGTTAGAATGCACATATCTCGGTCGAGCTGGCTGGAGGTCGGAGGGGCGAACCGCCGTGTCTAGTTAACCGCTCGGACGCTGCGCGAACGGTGCTTCCATGCTATCCTACCACCTACCTACCTATCGTCTAACCAGGGGCGCGTTGACTGTTTACCTCCCGCTATCGCGCTGCGCTGCGCTGCTGGCTCGGTATCGCGATTTGCTCACGTCTTCTTGTATGTGACGATCTGCGCGGCGGGCGTTCTCCACAAGTTGGACCGGGGGCTGTCAGTCATTATTCGTTCTGCGTTTGTGTTGGTGTCGCTCTCAATTGCAGAGGCCGAACGCCATAGGGAGTTGTCAGCTCCCATGTCCTTATTCTGGGCTACCTTGTCTCCGCCAAATACGTACTCTGTCCAGGGCATCCCCGTAGAGCCGGCACATACTGAATAATGGTGTCGCTGCTAGAATATCGTGACCTCCTATGCTTTTACAATGCTCTTGTTGGTTTTAATCCTTGCTTGTTGAAGGAAATCACTTATTGGAAGTGATGTATGGCCGGTATACCTCCATAATGTTCGTAAAAGGCATACCTCCGGTAGCAATGGTTGAATTTTTATTGTGTATGCTGTCCCCGCTTTTGTTCACTGTACATTATGGCAGTGAATCGCATAAGAATATGTCAATGCGAATCAATTTTTTAAAAGGGTTTACACCGAAAATGGCATGAATTTTATTGTTTTGTCACCTTTTGACGCAAAGATCATCTTATTAGACATGGACACTTTAATTCGGTAGTTGCAGTGTTCAATATGATTCTTTTTGGAAGAATGCAGGTTTTGTTTTAGTGGTTGCAACGTAATTTGTTGAAGTACGTCGATTTAATTATTTGAATTCCCAGCCTTTGTACAAGGTCAGTTTTGATCTTACTTTACGTACGTATACCTCCTCTGGGTCCGTGAGAAGTGTGAGAAGGAGTTTACTCCTGGGTAGGGTACCTCTGTGTACGGCCGTAGTGACCTCAATCAGCCCCAGCTTCTCACTCGTTTGCTACCGCTGCTGCTCCCTGGCCGACTCTCGTCAATGCCTGGACCATCTCGGCTTGCCCCGGCCTCGCCCCGGTGTGACCTGGTGCGACCGAGCCGCCCGACGCGCGCCTGTGGAGCGGGGATGGGATTCGCTCAGGCTCGGCACTCTGCGCGGCCGCGCGGTCCAACAGGCAGCACGCGCGTGCCTGGGAACTCCGCTCACGCGCCGCGCACGGCCGTATCTGGGCCAAGGTCCACCGCGCTGGGTTTCCGTGAGCCGCGGCCAGTGTGGCCGCCGGGCCGGCTCTCTGGAGCGTGAGCCGACGCCGGGCGCCGGATGACGACGGGCCCGGCCCAGAGCAGGTACAAACCGTTCCCCCGCGCGCTACCCCGGACCCGGTCGGGCTGGTGGCTCTCCAAGAGCCGCAACTCGCGTATGGAGCGCGGAAATCAGCGGACCCAAACACGGTGTATGGTTTGCAGGGTGAAAATTCAGCTCTAAAACAAGGGCGGCATTCTGTTTGAATCAGTTATTCCGCTACGAGACAGGGTTGCGAGCCTGTCAGAGGATTTGACGTCTTCATCGTCTCAGAGCCGACAGCTGAGCACTAGCAGTCGGTTTCCCTGGCCAGCGGTCACCACACGGGCGTCCTGCCGCCACCCGGTTCCACCCCCTGGCCGGGGGTCGTGTCCTACCTCCGCGCCCGCCGCCACACAATGTTCCTAGCCGATGTAGCAGCGTTGACGGCCCCGGAGCGGGCTGGCCCGGCCGAGTTTTTAACGTGTGGTAGGCGCCGCGCGCCGCGCCACCGCGAACGCCTCAGTGTGTATGTCTGTGTGTGTGTGTGTGTGTGTGGAGTATATTGGAGCGAGAGACAAAATACATCGTATTATCTCATACTCGGCGCTGTTTTTGGTCGAACTAAGAGCTGGTGGAATTGGGGCGTCTGCTGCACGACCTACATCTGAGTGCACGTGCCGCGTCAAATATCAGCTTTCGCCATCCTCACACTAGCAGTGACATCAGACTCATTATATTGCGATGGATGATAAATGTACAGAGATAGCAACTAGCGGCCGGCGCGTCGGACACGCACAAACCACCACTCGAAGACCGTGCAAAAAAAAAAAAAACGAACGAAAGTGAGCGTCGCTGCAGCCTTGGCTATGGACTAGATGAGTAAAAGCCACCATTAGAGCGCCTGTCGCGAGCCGCGGTCGGTGGCGGTCGCGGGCGTGCGGCGTTCGGCTCCCCCCGTCCGGTACGCACTCAGCCGCACGTAACGACGAACCCGGACCCTGGCTCACATACAGACATTCGCACACACCACACGGCGCCTCTGTACCGACTGCCACCCGGCCGCCGCTCACCCAGTCACTACCACAATATCGCCCCACCCCCACCCTCCCCGCGATACCCAACTATTATCGTCAGCACAACCGATCCATACGCCAACTGCTGCTAGCGACGCGTCACCGCCCGAACCACCGCCGGGCGTCCCTCCGTCACGGACCGGGGCCGTCACAGCACCCCCACCGTCACGTCACGTCACGTAACGGCGCGCTGCCGACGCTATCACAACTCGCCGTTCCCGCTGTCATCGCCGTTGTCCAGTTCGTCTGTAACGTGAGAGGACGCGCGTTACGGGCGGCTGGCCAGGGAGAAAGGTGGTCCAAACGGAGCTCCCAGCCGTGTGTGACAGGTCGTTTATCATGTGGCAGTTATCACTGCTAACTTAAGCTAATGTTGGAATCAAATTGAAGCGATGAGATCTGGCACGTTACTCCCGTGTAAACACTCCCTCGAACGTGATTGAATATCATAACAGTCGTCTTCCTAAAACGCGACGCTATAACAGCTTCAATCAGTGGGTCGGGGAGCACACATAGCAATACGAGCCAGAAACTACGTCGAACGCCAGATCAGCTCCGGGGTCAACGAATGAAGCAGTGGCGTCACCACCAGTAGCTATTTCATAAACAGTACAAAACTCTCTGACCGGAGCTACCGATATTAGCTAATTCGGTCAATAAAGGAGGGAAAGATGGGCAAAGGGTCAGATGACAGCGATTGACACGATAGGAAGCAAGGGGAGAAGAAAAGTGAATATCCAGACGGACGTCCCAGTCAAAAATACGTTTTCTATCAGCACAACTTGTTATGCCAGTACTTCATCTTTTTTAGCATTTAGGTACTGTAACTGTTAAAAATAAGTCAACAACGGACAAAAACAATCAGCGAATGACCGAGGCATAAATCACCTTCTGAGAATTGCCTACTCTCATGGCCGTGTTGTCTTTAATAATTCATCCTGGCGGGATCAGCTCGATACCGGCTAGTTTGCCTCTAATTAATCTCCCTGTCTAATGACATTAGTCAGATCTCACCATCAAACCAGCCAGCTACCCGTGGCAGACACTGATACGGCCAGTACACGTGTCGCAGTTCCGTCCGCCGAACTGTAAATAACTGCCCCAAGGCCAGTGCGCACCCACGGAATGCACGACTTACCGTCAACACTGCCTGTCGCCTATCGTAACGGCGGCGACTAGGCGACTTATATGGCACCGAGTCGGGCTCGGGACGCCCGTCACCAACTCACCGTCATCACACGAGTCGTCATCGTCGTCATCCAGGTAGTCGTCGTCGTAAAAGTCTGTGATGTCGACCGGGTCGGGTGGCGGCCGCGCCTTGGGCTTGACACAGTACTCCTCCAGGGTGAGAGGTACCACCACATTGTCACGCTCGGCCTCCTTCCGAGACGCCGAGATCTGCTTCCTGGGGGGAGCATCGGCGACGGGTTAGCACGACGACGTATGATGAACATGAAGAAAACAGTGGCTTTCATTGGCGTCACATACGGATAAAGGTATTGGGTAAGTGCCATTGATTCATGCATTATATTACTGATTTCACAGTGAGTCATTAGATTGGAAACGCCACGCAAACAGGAAGATCTTGTTCAAACACCCGTATAGTATTAACCCGCGCCCCAGTGGCGGTCTCAGCCAACTTCGCCCTAGTGAGGGGGGGCATATGTTACCACCCACCTCTAACTCAAAAACTAAGAGGGCTAGAAAGACGCGGTAAAAAGCAGACGATAGCTCTCAATGCGTACGTTTGAAAGTATTTCAGTCATTTTTCACCTTAGAGCAATATTGGGGTCACCAGAGGTCATCAAAGGTCAAAATTTGCCAATTGTCATTATATTTTTCAGAAAACATACCGCTATCTCAGGAACTATGGTAGCTAGAAAAACGCGTGAAAGAGCAATCGATAGCTTTTGAACTGTTCTTTTGAAAAAGTCATTATCAATATTGACCTCAGGTCAACGGTTTAGCCTCCAGAGGGCAAAAACTCCAAAAATAGCTGTTTTTACGAAAAGTGTTTTTCGACAATAACTTTCGACTACAAAAAGCCACGACATTTCTATTGCCAGAATCGTGTTCCCCTCGCCGAGACGCGTCGAATGAACCATAATTTGACCTTGAAAGGGCAACTTGAAAATTTGACCTCAGGTCAAGGTCATGACCTGACCGGAAAAGGTCATGTTGCATATCAGTCGATGCGTCTTAACGAGACAAACACAATGAGACCATCCCCAGCGTTCTATCTCTTTCCAATCGCGAGTTATTGGCAAAAAAACTGTTTGTAGCCTCAAATGACCTCGGATGACCTTTCTAGAGGCTATCAGCAAAAATGACACCTTGGTCATCACGAGTGGACTAAATCATTGTGATTCTGAAATATTTGGACTGTTCCTATGCGTACACACGGATCTAGAGGCATTTTCATTTTTCTCCATTGACTTGTAATGGAAAGGTCACGCCACTGACCTGACCTTAGGTCACGGATATAAAAAATCCGAGATATACAAATTGTAGGCGCCCATAACAGCATGCAATCCACGAAGTTTAAAACCTTTCTGACAAACACTGCAGGCTGGACATGATTGCAAACTTTTTTTTAGGCGTGGTCAGTTAACTTGACCTGGTGACCTGACCTGACATGACCTGGGGTCAAAAATTTCACACATTGTCCAAAATTGATGTATCAAAAGCTACCCCAAGCGGCGCGGCGCTACGCGCCGCGGTTTTTTATTCACACGCGAAAAACGCGACAGGGTGGTAACATATGCCCCCCCCCCCCCCCACTGGGGCGAAGGTTAAGCATGCAGATAAAGCTACATTGCGCAAAAAACGCATTAATCGGACGTCGGGAGTCGAGGAAGTAGAGTGCGGCGACCCCCAGGGTAGTCCCTGCGTCACACATTAGGATTAGGTTAGGAGTGACATAACTAGGATAATTTTCACCAGCCTCCCTCCCCCCTAACAATAGCTGGCCGCAAGTTTCTAGTGTGTCTCCCCTTCCAACTACCCCTCCCCGCCCACACTACCAGTGACAGTGACACCACCGTCGACACCGCTGTGTACGCAGTACGGGGCGCCGGCCGGCCGGGCGGCTGGCTGATAGCATCTCAGCAGCCCGACCACACTGACCGCCGAGTCAGCACCGTCCGGTGCCGACACCGCCGAGACTGGCGCTGTGTAACCGGTCAGGACACGGGCACCGGGCGGCAAACTGTCGTACTGACGATAACACCGGTAGGGAGTGTGCCGCGGCTACAGTCAATGGGGAGATGGGACATTGAAGAACATTGGTCATACGCGGAGATGCAGTCACCCTTTCACGGCCGTGTTTCATTGCAGTTTGCACGGTGTTCTCACTTTCAAGTTACAACTCAAAATGGATGTGAGCGAAGCCGAACAGGTTCCCAGGGCACCGTTACGTACCACCCCCAACCCATTTCACGAGCACCCCCTCCCTCGTAAAGACCAGCGCCTCACCTAATGATGTTCTCGTACTCCTTGTCCTTGCCCTTGGACTCCTTCCAACGTCTGTACATGACGGAGGCGTCCACGTTGGCTGGACTGAAGGTGTTGGGCTCGTTCAGGAGCGATATCACCGACAACAGGATCGTCCTGGGATAGACACAGTCACAAAACGTCAGATTATCATCAGCAGGGCTGCTATACGACAGAAAAGTGATCGAATGTCAGATCACAGAGAGCAAAGCTATCATTGAACGTAACAGTCACCAGATATCATACCACAGAGAGCAGAAACACCCAGTGAGATTGTGGCAGCGTAAACTAGCGTTTGAGGTTCCAGCGCGTCCCGACAACCTGTGTCGGGCCAAGTGAATAGCCATCGCTCGACATTCTATTTAGCATTTCGATTTCCGACCCTACCCAGGCGTTCTGTGTGGGGTTCCACTCCTGAAATTCGGCGAGGTTGTTACTTGTTACCGGTGGTACAGCCCTCTGCTGTGTTCCTGTTCCCACCTGACGTTCATTCAATGCAGGGTTATATTCCCCATATGACGATCTGAGAAGGGTCCAGCTCCACTTAAGGATAGGATAGCGTTACTGGTATATTGACCACGTCTTGATGATTTATTTTTCCGACCATCCCCGTGGGGTTATATTTCTCAGCTAACGTTCTGTGATGGGTTAGATTGCTGACGTGACGTTGTGTGGGATAAGATTGTTCGCTTGACCTTCCGCGTGGGATCATACATTTCTCACCTCACGTTCTGCGTGAGGTAGGATTTCTCACCTGACGTTCTGCGTGGGATTCCAGCGCTCGCAGGGCAGCTCGCCGCTCTGCGGGTCGTCAATGGGCGCGTGCAAGATGCTAATGCAGAGGTCACCGTTCTGGAACGGTGACGGTGAAACCGTGAACGGGTACACACTGACGAATCACCGCCGTCAAAGGTGGCCCGCACAAACACGTGCCGGCGCACAGTGAGATGGTGCTCCGACACGACTGAAAAGACTCTGATATCATGTGATGGGATACCGCTGAAATGAGAAATAATCGTAGAAGCAGTGATAATTTACGAAAGAATTTACTTTAAGAATACAGACGAAACCTGGCTACCAGATGTGTAAGGAATTGGCAGACAATACACGATTATATAATTAATGACCGAACGATGCAAGTGAGTTCAACGAAAGTTATCAAAGTATGAAAAAGCTGCAAAACGTGGGATGAGCGAAGGTTAGCTCGATTCTCACCTCGTACACGTTCGGGTGCCAGACTTTGCTCAGGAACTTGACCGTGGGCGGCGAGTACGGGTAGTCTGACGGGAAATTCAAATGTGCCTGAAACGTCGCAATCGAGTCAGAATCGGCCGACGGACAAGCATCATTCACTTGTTACGAAAGGGGATTTTAGCTTGAAGGACACTGTCATGCAAAAATTCACTCGAAAGACACAAGAAAGTTCCCTAGGCATGAGTGTCTGCTTAAAAATAAATGTTGACTTTAGGATCTTTGGCAACAAAACAGCAATAAAAAATGCATCATCTGAGGGATCAAAGTGATTGTACATAATACAGTAACTGAAAAACTATCATAAAGGCCTGGCTACACTATGCGTTTTCTGCGTGCGTTTTTGCAGGTTTGCGTGTTTTGCGTAATATCGTTCTAGGAAAAAAGTTATAAACAATATAATTTTTACTTTGGTTATATACAAAAGCTAATATAACTCTTATGTAACTAAAATTTAAGGTGAAAAACATCACAAAAACGTAATATCGTTCTTTTTTCTAGGACGATATCACGCAAAACACGCAAACACGCAAAAAACGCACGAAGAAAACGCATAGTGTAGCCAGGCCTTTACTTGCCATTTTTTTTCGCCCAGATCAGGAGAGCTCACCTTGAAGTAGCCACCCTCGTATAGTGTGTGAGGCGGTCCGAAGAGCGCCACCTCCCAGCAGAAGAGGTTCTCGTCGTTGGCCAGTTTCACCCTGAACCCCTCGACAGGCTCCTCCTGGAGGCTCTTGTACTCTAGCGCCAGCGCGCGGAGGGCGCTACTGCTTGGCTGTGGAGAGCCCTGGGCCATCCTTCCTTCCCGCTTCACTCACGTCAACACAGTGCAGGAACACTAAATGTCACACCTGAGGACAGACAGGTGATGTCTGGTGATGAAAGAGCATCCAGAATAGGCTGGATGGTGGGGTTATGGCAGCATATGGCGTGGAATCACAGTGGTTCTATGCTCTTCATTGATCAATTATCATTACATTCTACAACTCAACAGGGGACACAATCAGAGGTAATAAGAATGACACACTCTCATCATCCATTCACAGAGTAGAGTAACTGACTCACGTCAGTTTAGCTACTGGGTACTACGAGCATAGTGACAAACAGCTTAAGGCATTCAAAATGCTGCTAAAATCTGACCTCATGCTGAGGGTCACAGGTGCCATTTTACATCCAATATTCCATATCTACCTAATAAATTATGGTTGAGAGTGGACACAAAGGTCTCATGCTTAGATTTTGCAGACAATATGCTTGAATAGATCAATGAATAGAATACAGCATGACAAATAAAATGGTGCAAAATTGACGTGTCTGAATACAAATTTGATGAGGTCATTATGACTTATGAGGTACCTAGTAACTGACCTTGGATGGAACCAGTTGACTTCAGACCTTATTAATGCCAGTTGTCTCTAATTTGTATGAATATTACCTCATAGACAAAATTAAACTCATTCCATAAGGAAAACCGCATAAATCTATTACAAATTGTGCAATTGCACAGTACCAAATGTTGATTACAGAGAACAGAGATAAGCTGTCTCACAAAAGCCTAATTCTTATCCTTTATATGCATATATTGTCATAAAAAGTGCATAACAAAGAATATGAAAAGTATGACCTTAATTAATCATCATGTTTGGAAGTAGGCCCTAAGCTATTTAAGCAGTAATGCAGATCATTGAACTCACCTGCATGCATTAACTACTAGGCACATGACAATCAAAATGCACACAAGTTTTTAGCAATGAATTTTCAATCTGTGGCAATTGAAAGGTCAGCCAGCCTTCACATCTGGGAACCATATGGAGCCCAAATGTGCACCAAACTGGGGCCAGATGAGCGTTTTGTGGCACCCAGTGATCAGCAGTGAGCAGGGTCCTATTTTAGCAGCCCTGATTGGGTGGGGCTACATGCAGCCCACAACAGTGCTAGGCCAGTCAGGATTTTTCAATCCTAACCTAGCAGAAGATCCTATGCATCAAACTTTTAGGCTGGCACAATCAAAGTAAGATAAAACATGCTGAAATCTAGTACATATTTAGCTCATATAAGACACAGGCTTAACTACATTTATAACTCACATGTAGGCAGTGTAGTTCACGACCACATGCAGCTAGGTAGGTATCCCTCCTGTTTTCAGCTCATATGGACTATGGAGTGAACCAACCCCTTTTGGAAGACAGGCTAGGACTACCAAACAATCTGATATGATAGACATTGCAAAATATAGTATGCACATTGCAAATAGCTGTTTTAGCACTTTCAGCAAATATTGAAGCAAGCATTTATCTCACTTCTGTTCAAAGTAAGATATGCCATATGCATTGGATATGGCTCATTTACCTAAAACAACATGGTTTGAAATGGAAAGCAAGTCTGGGACTGGGCCTGGGGCAATTAAAATAATAAACAGGTAACACATTCACTGGCATATCAAATAAAATGTTGGATCTGAGCATTGGTTGCTTGGTCAGTCTACAGCAAAAGTACACAAGTAAGACAAGTGCAAGTAGTTTTTTACATAGATAAAAACAGATCATATTTGTCAGTTAATTCTATTTTTATGACATTCTTTCTTTCATTAAGATGGTATTCATTATGCAAGCAACCGAAGTTATAAAAATGTTTTCAAAATGCAGCAGAAAATATAATATCCATCTTAGTGCCTACCTTTTGCAGTAGGTTTAAGCTGATTGGCTGAGACTCTACTCTATTTCAAATACCAAATAAGCTGGGAATGAAATAAGAATGAGAAAACCAATTGAATGGTAGGTAAGACTTGACAAATTGTTCTACACTCTAGGGTATGCCCAGCTCAGAGCATTTTAGAACATGCAAATAGCTTTAACAGCGCCATGGGTCATTTCCTCTTTTGGCAATGGCAGTTGGCACCCTCTAAAAATGGATAAATTAGCAAAATAAGAACATGAAAGGAAAGGACATATCCTTCTAAGCTTAAAAAGTGAGAACACACATCAATACTTATGATGCTTTTACACAAAACATTTATAAGTTATTCCCAACCACCCATTGATTCAGGCAAGGTGAGTTTATGTTAGGTAAGGTTAGGTCAGGCTAGATTAAGTTTTGTTGTTTCTGCTTGAAGTGAACCTGCTGCTTTAGGAGTATGTAAATGATTGTTTAAACCATTTTCTAGGTTAATATGTGATTTTTGACAATATGGCTTGGTTTCTTATCATTCTTGAATCAGTTGCAAAAGGAGGATTTTGCCGAGCCATGTATAAATTTCATTAAAATAAGTAGGTAGTTGGAACTTGGTTGCTCAAAAAAGGTAAAAAACAAGCATTAAAAGTAGCACAAGACAACAGACCAAAAAAACAATAGGTACTGAGTGCTGACAGTTGGCCGGTAAATATGAAGATTTCATTGATAAATTTTTCATATTTTTACATTATTTGACATCCTGAATCCAAAAATGATACTCATATGTCTCGCAAATAAAAGAATAAAACATAATCAAACCTGACCTAACCTTACCTACTTACCTATAACCTACCAACCTACAACCTACAAACCTACCCTAACCTAACCTAACCTACAAACCTACCTACCTACAACCTAAAACCTACAAACCTACAACCTAACCTAACCTAAAACCTAAAATTTTTGCTGTTTCATATTCGTATCAACAGCGTCACAATTGTAGTTAGGACCTAAACTTGACATATACCAGCTGGCCTTCAACAGTTGACCTTCCGAATGAATGATTCCTATTTCATGTAATAATTTAATATACTTGTAATAAAATAGCAAAAAAATAACAGCTTTTCAGCAAATTGAAGTGTTTTTCATAAAAACTGAACAGTCTATGCCATAGTGCAAAAAAAAAATCAGCATAACCCAGTCACAGTGGGTGGGTTTACACATCATTGGTGTTCATGTTACCAATACAACAAAGGAATGAGGACATTTAAAACATTGGTATCTAAGGCTGATACAAATTGATTTAAATTTTGAAAATCCAAGGAATAATAACTCATTTTAGATAGGGTTAGGCATCACATTACTCCGATGCCAAGCTGTCTTATTAGGACAATCATCCAAGACAAAGGATTCCGGAAAAGCTCCCGAGACGAAAGCACCACTTCTAAAACAAGATAAATGAAGGTGCTCACCTTCTCTGGTACACCTCAAATGCAACAAGCCACAAAACAAGAAACTCTAATAAGTAAAAAAAATAAAAAAGCTTGGAAAAATTAGCAGGATTCACTCACAGTAACCTTATCCCTCGACGCTTCCCGTGATTATTCCGTCTGTCACCTTGCGTCACAAACACATTACGCTGCCCTTGAAACAGCTGATTCCGAGATCTTCGTGAAGCTGGTATTAGATTCCGATTCGAAATAATCGTCGAAATCTGATCGTTTCAAAATGCAGCTCAGTTAGGGGCGTATAACAGGAAGATTAAGTATATTTCGACGCTTTTCATCACCATGATCTCTTATTTAACCCTTAATCTTCACCCCAGTGGGGGGGGGGCATATGTTACCACTCTGTCGCGGTTTTGCGTGTGAATAAAAAACCGCGGCGCGTAGTGCCGCGCAGCTTGAAGTAGCTTGCTGTACATCAATTTTGAACAATGTGCGAAATTTTTGACCCCAGGTCATGTCAGGTCAGGTCACCAGGTCGAGTTAACCCGCGCCCCGCTGGGCTATTCAGCCATACCTACGCGCCCTGCTGGGGGGGGGGGGACAGATTCTGCCCCCCTGTCTAACTTTCGAACCGATGGTCGTAGAAAGACGGGGAAAACGGTAATCAAAAGCTCTCAACAAGGCGGCTCTTAAGAGCCCAATTCTTTTTGCTAAAGTAGGTCAGATGTCAGGTCAAGGTCAGGTCAAGGGTACAAAATGCAAGTTTCAACAGTATCGGCCTTGCACCGTAGCTGCCGAAGAATGGACTGAGACTGATTGCCCAAAACGTGTTCTTAGGCTACCAAGACAATATTCGTTGCATACAATATCATGAAAAGGACAAAGGTCAAGGTCAGGTCAGGTCAGGTCACCAAAAACGAAATATAGAAAAGGGCATGTGCAACACATGTTTTACAGGTCATTTCATTCTTAGAATTCAATAGGCACACTCAATATATGCTATGGACCACATCTGGATGAAGTTCAGGTCAAGGTCAGGTCAAGGTCAAAGACAAAAGCCGGCACATGTGTAGTGATCTCAAAGTAAGTGCTCTACAGGACGGCAGGATGCATAAAACCGACTGAAATGGGTGTGAGTGAACTAAAATAAGAGAATCTGAGTGTTTCGATGATGCCCTCAACATAGGACAAGGTCATGCTCAAAATTGACCTCAAGCTTTGCACTTTTTCGTATATCTTGTACCTATATAGGTAACTAAGTTTCAATATGTTTTGAAGTTTTTTAGGCCCATCAGGTTCCTTTTAATGGTTCACCTTACGATAGGTACAAGGCAGTTAAAAGGTCACCATCTCGTAATAGTTTCCTTTGAAGTCAGTCATAATAAAAGACAATTGTGCCATCCTGAGGCTCTAAATGATGATAAAAAGCAAAATGGATGTCAGATTCGTGATCAGCGGCTACGAATCCATCTGTCGAATAATCTGTCATGTGCCAAGGTCAACCATAGGTCATTCGAGGTCAGGAGAGGTCAATATACCTAAAATTAGACATCTTCCAAACAAAACATATGTCATTCGACGTGGCTTGACAAGAAGAATGCGTTGGTAAGTACCATTGCCGTAGCTCATAGAAGCCCGTTTTTGTTTGCTTTTTGCAAAAAAAAAAAAAACGACCCGGTGTCGTTGACCTGACGGCCTCAGGTCACCAAAGCTTCGATTTTTCTCTAGGTCAAACGCTACACATCCGTGCTCGTGACTTGTCTTTATCTCTAAAACTGTATTTTTGGCAGCTATAGCCTATAACTGACAGTTATTTGAAATTCACGTCTGTGACGCCGAAGTTTGCCGTGCAGGGATCTAACAAAATCAACCCTGTGACGACATCAAGGCGACTAGGCCCAACTTTTTACTTCAGAATATGTCAAATTGATGGAAAGAAAAGGTACTGAGAGTTTCGCTTTTCTATCCCTAAGCGTTCGGGAGCTATCGCCAATATTCACCGGGGGAGGGGGGCGAAAACCCCTCGGGCCCGCGAGGGATATGGATCCTCCACTGCGCTCATGAACTGAAGGTGGCCGAATGATGATCCTGTCACATATGCAACACGGTACAAGTTTTATTCACGTGCCAAAAAGCTCATAATTCGTAAGGCATAGTGGAGACTGCTGCTCAGCACTACAAGATAGCCCTTCACGACGCGAAACTAGTGCTAGCTTAGGTACTATGTATTATTGCAGTCACCAGTCCCTGCCCGAGCTGTCTTTGGGATCTTGTGCTAGAATGTTCATTGCAAATTTATATATTGTATTTGGATGTTCTCAAACAGGTACCTACTTTGTGGAATGCACTGATGAAAGAGACTGCCATGCATCTTCCGCCAAACGAAGCTTAACCCGGCGGCCGCTGGGCCTCCGCGCCACCCGCCGGCCGCTGGGGGGGGGCATATAGTTGCCCCCCCCCCTTTATTTCTGCGACGATATCGTCGCAACGCGAAGAGATAGAGAAGCAAAAATTTGCACACATCTTTCTGAATACCTAGCCGAGGTTGTGTCCAAATTTGGTGTTGATCCCATTTGAAATGACGTCACAGTGACGTCATATGTGAAATTATAGATTTGCCACTCTCATATTCCTACAGCAACAGTAGGATGAGGTCTAGGTAGGTAGGGGGCAGGGATTTTTTTGTCAGGTAGAGCAATAGGAAAGGCTTGAACAGCCTGTATGTACCTTGATCCCTTGAAGTGACGTCAGTTTTTGGGCTTAGGTATATCGTTTGTTTTTTCTTTCTCCTCTCTCTCTCTCTCTCTCTCTCAGTGGCGTACGCACATACAGGACATTCCGTGCATGCCCTGTCCCTTTGGCTCATCGTCCCCGGCGCCCTCAGTGACTGGCGCCCCTCTGTCCAGTGTTGGCGCTCCTCCAGTCGATAGCGGCGCGCTTCTAGTTGATGGCGAAGCCCCTCTGTGCAGTATTGGCGCTCCTCTGGTGATAGTGGCGCCCTCCTAGACGATATGGTGGGCCGGTGGCGCCCCTTTGTCCAGTATTGGCGCCCCTCCAATCGATAGCGTCGCGCTCCTAGATGATGGTGGGTGGCGCCCCTCTGTCCAGTATGTCAGTTATGTTCGTTCCGCACGTGTACGAACATAACTGACACATTCAAGTTTCAGATATGTGGCGCCCTCCTTGTTGTTGGCGCCCTCCTTGATTGGCGCCCTCTCGTCCAATGCCCTGGTCCTTCGCAAATTCCTGGGTACGCCACTGCTCTCTCTCTCTCTCTCTCTCTCTCTTTCTCTCTCTCTCTCTCTCTCTCTCTCTCTCTCTCTCTCTCTCTCTCTCTCTCTCTCTCTCTCTTTCTCTCTCTCTCTCTCTCTCTCTCTCTCTCTCTCTCTCTCTCTCTCTCTCTCTCTCTCTCTCTCTCTCTCTCTCTCTCTCTCTCTCTCTTTTCAAACACTGTTTTCCAATTTACAAGGATACATCTATCTTTATAGGGGAGAGTGGGGGGAGTGGGGCAATGGCGGACGGTGGGTAATGCCGGCCACCCATCTCTAGTGAGTACTTTGTCCATCACTAATCAGCTGATGTTGTTTACATTTCAGTTGAGCGCCATTCTAGCACGTGGTGCAAGTTTGTCACGGTAGCTCCATTATTTTCATTTTTATAGCGTTAAATGTGTTTTTCGTATCTGATTTTTAATTTTTGTTGCATCTATTTGCTGACTGTGAAATGTGTTAACGCATTTTCAGAAGTGCTGCTTTGCAATGACCTTCAATTAAGCCTTTTTTAGGCGACTGCTGGATGTGAGGCGTTTGCGGCGCAATGCATTTGACTGCTGCCTGCTTTCTTAAAATAAAGCTGACCTCGGGGTAATACCGGACACGTGTCCGGAATGACTCCACGCGGTTTTGTTTGTGACTTCTGTCGTTAAAGCTCAACGTTTCGGGTTGCTGTGTTTACAGCTGTGTTAGTTTGCTTGCTGTGTTTACGGTTGTGTTAGTTTGCTGCTCTGTTGGCGCCGCGCTGTTGTGTTGCAGCGAGTGCAGTGTTGTGTTGCAGTGCAGTGTACTGTTAACTGCTGAATACAGTTGTCGTTTGTTAATTCTCACTTAAATTTCCATCGAAAGAACGGTGTAAGGATCAATACCAGTGACGATATTTCGACTTTTTGTGCTATTGCACTTAGTGGCCGGCATTACCCCTCGCTTTTTTGCACCTCCATTTTTCACCACATTTTCGCGTAGGCTCTGAATCTGTCATAAGTGATCTGAGATACTAAAACTGGGTGCTATCTGAAAGCCTATTCCTTTGGCTATAACCACAATCAAAATCACCATAAAATAGCTTCAAATAGCTAAGCTATTGAGCAAAATGCTTATGGTGTCGCCATTGCCCCACTCTCCCCTACGGTTCGGTCCTTCCGGTCTAACTGGAAGTTTTTACATAGAGCCGGAAGGATGATATAGGATTTAAAGAACTCAGTGGTATGGGCGGCCACCCTGGTGTGCTGCCGGGACTGAGTCCGTCACAGTGGACAGGCCAACCAGCCCCGCAAACGGTCGGCTTGTGATCCTACATGAGCTATATGTACTCATGTCGGATGAAGGTGACCGTTTAGCCCGGATCAGGGGTTCACTCAAGTGGAAGAGAAGCGTGGACTGTCTATTGAATGTGGAAAAGACAGAATGGTTTTTGTTTGTTTGTTTTATTGGGTAGGGCCCTCACGGTCTGATGAGACCATTTCAGAGCCGGAAGGATGATAGAAATTATAGGGGTAGACATTGGTCTATGCGAGCACCCTAGTGAGTCGCCGGGGCTGAGCCTATCCAGTGGACAGGCGACTCCTGCAGCCCCCCAAGCATTCACTGCACCCGGCTACGGGCATGTTCAATGGCCCGCAGGAGATAAAGTTGCCCGTCCAGCCCGGAGCAGGGGTTTGAGGCGTGGAGGAGAAGGATTTGACTGTCCTCGCCCTCGGGATGGAAAAAATGGAACGGTGACGGAATGGTGCTACTTATCTGCAGCTACAGGTATAACGTACCTAATATAGGTATATAGGATTATGCAGGTGAAATATTATCTGAGATACAATTTTCTAGCCAGTGATGGTTTTATTTTTCATTTGTCCTTTGCACACTGGTGCACATGGATAAATATCACTGAGGCTTCACACGATCTCCCCTGAAGGAGAGCAGAGCGTCGC